GTTCTCAGCTGGGTATACCCTGTAACAAAACAACAACAAAACAGATTAACAAGAGAAAAGCACACTAATTTAACATAAGTTTTGTGTGACATGGGAATCTTCATAAGGAAATGACCCAAAGAAGCAGTTAAACCTGAGTAATTTTTATGCCAGGTTAGATGAAAAGTGGAGAGTTGTAGGAAAAATGCTAGTAAAAAAAGGGTGTGAGCTGAATGTAGTAAACTGAGGGAAACAGCAAGGAAGGCCCGTTTGTTCAGATTCCTCTTGGCATCCCTCTGACTAGGAGATAAAGAGGTTCCCTTCCTCTGGGGAGTGTACTTCTCACATGAGAGCTGTATGATCTGCTTAGGGGAAGATCAGAGAGTCCTTCCAGTACATGTTGTTTCTCGAATTCCTTCACCATAAAATATTCAGTATGCCAGAGCACCATATTTTATGGTAGTATGTCCTGGACTCTGTATCACTTGTCTGAAATTTCCCCCCAAATTTTCATAATTCAGAAACTGAATTGGTAGATTGTCTCATAACCCACTGATCCAGTCTCTTAGGCCAGGAAATAGGTCTATCCAGTAAAACAGTTGTATCTCATTTCAGGAGGAAGTTTTGCAGGTGAGCTCCCAACAAAATTAGGCTTCTATAATTAGGTGTGAGCAATCAGGCATTTAATAAGCATTTTTATGGAGACAAAAGAAAAATAAAGGCTAATGGTTAGAACAAACTAAAAATTCAGTTTCTGAGTTCAGAGGGCAGTTGAGATTTCTAGATGTTAGATGGAGTGAGGACAGGCAGTGGCAATTTGACAGATTTCCCTAGTTTTCAGTGTCAGCATCGCTTGTTGATGTCATCAGGTGTTCTGGCACACTTTCTGAGTGTCCCACTCAGAAAGGCCAAGAAGGTTGTCTATAAATGACCTATTGAGATGATGTCTCTGAAGTTTATAACCAAGTCATCCAGCTTCAATTTGACGTGCTTTGGGAAAAGGGCAGTTTTAGTTTTCAGTGATTTCAAATCAGAAGAGTGGGAGAAAAATTGGAAATGTTAGTTTGGAGAGTTGTAGTCAGATATTGAAGGGGACTAGAGAAATTCAGGATCCAGTTCAGTTTATAGGTAGATAATAAAACCTTAAAGATGATGAAGAGGACTAGAATTTAATATCTGTAAGTCTATACTCTAATTTTCCATTGAAACATATCTTTCTAGTCATTGGAAGGGAGGGAGGGTGACAAGAACAGATGTAACTTTGGGAACAATTATGCTAGCTGAAAACTGAGAATGGCGTGGCAGAGGGCACAGCTGGCTTAGGTGTAAGATTTAGGAGGCCACTGAAGCTATTTAGATAGAGGTGATAGCTGGTGTCATATCACACACCTGCTTAAAATCCCGAGCATAAAGCCGCAAATCCTTCAGATGGCATTCAAGGCCTTCCACAATTTGGCTCTTAAATCAGTCACCCATAACTGATTGGGGCTACTACCATCTATCCATGTGCCAAACTCTCCTCGCTATTAACATTGCCTAAAGTATAGTAGTACCTTAGTACTACTAAGGAATTATCGTTAATTCGTTCTGGAGTTTATGATGAGTGCCAAAACCAACGAGTACCAAGTGATGACACATCTTCTCTTGTGGGGCAGTGTCGTGACTCATACAAGTTCTAGCAAGTGCAACAAGTCCCGAGCAAGAGTCAAGGGGGTTTGACGAGTTCTGGAGCTGATGAGTTCTGAAGCCGATGAGCAATGAGTGTGCCAAGGCATGACTGTATATCCTTTACCTCACTCTTCTCTCTACTAACGTTTACTTATTCTTCAGGTTTTAGCCTAAATGTCATTATCTCATGGAAGCTTGCCCTTGACCTCCTTGAATAGTTCCCTTCCATGTCCTCTTTTTTCCCACACTCTATGGGTCATGCCTTGCATGTCTTCACTGTCATTTGCCCCACCAGACTACACACACTAGAAGGATGCAGTGTCCCTGGCACTGTATCCCTGTGCCTTAAACACAGTAAACATTGAGTAAGAGTTTGTGGGAGGAGTGAATGAATTTGCATCTCAAGGAATTCGCTTCAGTGTACCTCTCATTTCTATCATACTTCAATTCCTACTTCCTCTGACTTCTTTTTAGCCTTGAAGTATTCTTACATCATTCTCCTTAAAAACACTTCCCTTGATACCACTGCTTCCTAAAGTTATTGCCTGAGTTCTCTCCTTCCTTTGAATACTGCTAGATTTCTTGAAAGTGTTTCATTCCTTTCATGTGTATACTTCACTTTCTAATGTGTCTGTCTTCCTCCTAAGCTTGGAAGATCCTTAAAGATGGGAGCATATCTTGCTTATTTTTTTCTTCCCCACAGTCTCTTGTGTACAATAAGAACTCAGCAGTGTTTGCTGAGTTGGCATGATTGAAGAGGACATACCTGTTGTAATATTAGTCTTTTTAAAAGAAACTGAGTAAAATTTAGTTTTCAAAATTGACTGTGAATGTTGGTTGTGTAAGGACAACATGTAATTAATTGGGAGATATGGAAAGTTCAGTAGAGGTCTTGAAGGACAGTCCAGGATGCTTCCAAAGACTTTGGGGTTTAACTTAGAAACTTAACACTTTCTCTAGAAACAGTACTGCTGTGCTATCAGCCACATTTAGGCTCAGTTTTGGCTCAGAAAGGGACCGTGGTGCACACTGATTGAGGAAGAAGGGTTACAGAGCCTGAGTGTCCTGTGAAATGGCCTGATGCAGACCTAATGGACTGCAAGAGGTGAAAGGCAAAGTTAAAGGGGGAACGGAGGGGGAGTGGGGAAGGTCTTGTGGGGTGACAAAAATATGTCAGCCTGCCAAAAATAAAAAAAGTCTTTTCAGTTGGCCAGTCTGAGTAGTGAATACAGGTGAGGATGAGAGGTGACCTGTCCGCCTACCTAAGACCCATCAATAGCTTGCTACTCTCTAAGGAACAAAATGAAAACTTCTTAGCCTTACTGGATTTCCCATCGACTCTTGCTCCACTCTCATCTGTTTTCCACACTGCAACTGGAATGGTCTTTTCAAAATGCAAATATGATTTTGATACCCCTTCGCCTAAAGCCCATCAATCGTTTTCCACATTTGCATGAGCTGCCCCCACCTCTTTGCCCAGACTCACCTTGCAGTACCCTGCGTGGGCTCCCACTATACTGGCCTTTAAGCCTCTGTAGTGTCCCATGATAGACCCTAGTCAACACCTCTTCACACTGTGTTTAGTCTTTGTTCAGCTGCCACTATCAAGTGTTTTCTCTGACCCTCCTTATATGCTCAGAGCGCTCTATCATGTTCCTTTCTTGCACTTAGTCCAGTCAGTTATACACTTGTTTTTGTGATTAATTGATTATCCTAATTGTTTCCTTCAATAGCCTATAAGCTCTAGAACTATGGAACCATATCTATTTTTGCTCTCCACTGTGTTTCCAGTGCCTGATAAGAGTAGACACTTGATAACAAATAGTGAATACATGAGAGTAACTTTTGAGGACAGGGAATGGAAAGCCTTCCTCTTTGAAAATTTCAGCGCCTGCACAATGAATGGATGCATAAAATACATGTAGAACTAAGAATGCATTGTAAAAAGAGCATTCACTCCAAAATGTTTAAGGGCCTACACTGTACATTGGGGCAATGGGTTTAAGACAGGACAACCATGGTGAGCAGGATTAAAACTCACTGGCTTTAAATCACAACAGTGCGTAGTATGCATTTTATATGTGCCCTCGGCCTAGATTTCATCTTGGCCAACTTCCCGCTTACCCATCACAACCCTTTATTCTCTTTTACTTTGGCAGGGCCAGCACTAGACCCCAAATAAATTTGGCCCCCTCCCCAACCCCCTTTTTATGGCATGCATCATTCTGGTGGCCTGATTTCAGGATTCCTTGTAATAGCCAGTGATCAGCTAGCCAGGCTGTCTTTCTAGAACGGGGAGCAAGCCACAGGAGCCCAGGAGGACCACTCAGACACAAGCACCAGAGCCTTTGGGGCATCTGGTCAAGGCCACATGCAGGTGTAGGGGGCATCGAGAACTGGAGTACATCCGGAAGGAGAGAAAGGCTCTGTCTGGATGGCACTAGGCCAGACCCACGCCCCAGACACTCAAAGCACGGGGGCCCTGTGTGCTCAAGGCAGTCTTCTGCCTAGCTTTTGGGACTCCCAAATTCACATTTGATCTGCAAGACAGCTGTAACCAAGAAGTGTCCAGTCTATTGGCGATGTTTCAAATGCAGCAGGTTCACCTTTGCGTTCTGCTACAGGGAGAAAAGCCCGAGCATAGGCAAGTGTCCCCCATCTTCTGTATTTATCCAGATCATCTTCCCTACTGGGTGATTTCAACAGTTTCCCCCCGTAGGTTCTTTGACCACCTTATACTCTATGGTTTCTAATTACTTGCATCATTTGCTACTCACTCGATATATCATTTGGGCAATTACCAACCCCAGGTCTTCCCCATGCCACCCCTCCTGCCCCGCCCTGCTCGTCCCTGTAGGTCTCCTCGGCTTCACATACTGGCAAGCATAAGGTTGCAGACAATCCTGCCAGATCCCTCCAAAAAATCCTCTGGTAGCTGTGACTGGCTGTCTCTGAGTCTTCCCATGATTGGCAGCTTCTGTCCCTGAGCAAAATTCATCCCATCCAATGTTAAGGCAGTAGTTTACTTTTACATCTTAAAGGTGGAGGAGGGCATATCCATAGCCTAAGATCCCAGGTTTCATGCAGAGACCCAGTCTTCTAGATAAATTATAGTACTGACCACTTTGGCACTTGGATCATTCTCAGGGACAGCAGACTGTACAGAGGATGGTGCAAACTACAGTTTCTCTACCAAGCAAAGGAAATGCAATAGGAGCCCAATGCTTCAGAAAATGTGCCTTGGACATATTCCCAGGGATGAAGAGCTTAATTGGATTCAATGAACCCCAGACCTTAAAACCGCTTTGTTTGGTCAGTTATCACCACTACTCTCCATTGCCAGGTTGAAATATTTATTTGAAAAGTTGAAAACACAGATGCAATGTTTTGTACAAAGAAAGGTCTTAATACCATAATAAAAGTATTGTTGGAAGGGAATAAAAGCCAGTGGCTACCTGCCCTGGGAAGGTAGGCACTCAGTGAAAAATGAAATTCATTCATAAGAACTATTCTAATGGAAAAGTGGGGAAAAGGTTAAAAACAGAAAAAACAAACCCAAACCCATCCCTGCAAACCTAAGTGTGAAAGAGTTAAAAGTTAGAGACAATTGTGTTATCACCAACATTTACCTGAACCCCCTCGGTTTGTCCCTATGAATAATCAGCTTAATTTAGGGCCTTCAAACCTGAGGTAGTTGAGGGTCACCTGAAAAGACATGTCTGGAAATGATCTATTCTCAGAATGGAACCCAACCCGGCATCTAACCAATTGTTTCATGTAGCTTTGGCTCCTGGGGTGAAGGGCTGGGCCACCGCTGTGGGTTGCTGATCCTTACTTGGTCTGGACCTGGGAGACAAAGGACGTGAGCGGCAGACAGCTCGCCACTTTGCTGTGTTGATGGCCGGCAGGCCTGTGGTGGTGGCGCTCGATACTGCAGGCAGCGCGGTCTCTGGAGGACGGAGGGTGGTGGGCAGAGGGCAAAGCTGACCTGGTTGGAAGGCCGATGCCAAGATCGAAGGCTTTCGTTGGCAAGAGGGATTTCCAGGGATTTGGAAAGGTGGTAGAAGGTAGCAAGAACTTTACAGTTACTAAAGACCAGGTTATGTGGAGCCAGAGGACCCCTCTAGAGCAGCGATTTTCAACCTTTTTCATCTCTTGGCGCATATAAACTACTAAAATTCTGTGGCACACTGAAAAATATACTTTCTTGCTCATCTGATAAAAAATAGGTATAATTTTGATTGATTTACTTCCCCTCTTCCCCCGCCAAAAAGTAATTACCTACCTTTTTTTGCTCGAAAGTGACTTTAAGAATCAGGTGTGGTGCCTATACTTGTATATAAGGATTTCTGGTACTGAGAATTAAAAAATTCAACATTATGCAACATGACCATTAAGATGCAACTGTATGGTTCAAGAGGGCATTCACACTGGTCAGCTACTGTCATTTTTTAATTTGACAATCTAAGGGAAAAGAGGTCAGTGCCCGTGACTAAATAGTCAAGTATTTCATGTTTTAAAAATTCTTACAGCACACCGGTTGAAAAATCGCTGCACTAGACTAAGGAGATGGTATTAAGTGAGCACTTCTTGGGTGCAGGCTCAGAACCAGCTCCTCATTCGTGAGGCCAAAGCATACGGCCCTGACCGAAAAACATGCACCTGTGACCCCATGGTACCTGGTGTCTGATTTGACAGCTCAAACACTTCCAGGAAAGGATGCCCTGGAAAACATTTGGTTCTTCCAAATGGTGGGATCCTAGGGACCAATCTCAATTTTAGTTTGAATTCCTTGTTCAGATATAAAATAACACCACAAAAGCAGGTCTTTTCTGTTTTTTTCTTCATTATGTACACACCTATCCTTATTTTAGAGGTATTAGAGCACCATATTACAAAATTAAATAACAGATGCAGCTTCATTTCAACCTTATCAATCCTGAGCCATTCTTTTGCCACTGTCCTCTCTTGTCATGACCCATTTACACTGACCCATGAGACTCCAGTCACTAATGATGCTCAGTGACTAATTTAAAAGGCTGTGAGGTTCATTTTTAGCCTTAGGATATGATTTGTTTTCATCAAGGTATACCACACATTCATTTTAGAAGAGCCAAGATAGGACAATTTGATTTTGGCTAGAAAATGGACTAGCTTCTAATCTGAGCAGCGATGAACGTAATTATGACAGGTATTGCCTCATGAGAGACTGATTGAGCCCGTGCTCCTGTTTAAGGGCTTTCTTAATGGTTTTATTACTGGCTAAGCCCATGAAGGTTTTGAAACTGTGGCTTCTTTTTAAGAGAGTGATTTTCAGTCCTAATTTGGCCCAATATACTAGAGTTTTTTCCCCCCATTGGTGACCTGAAGCGCAACTGTGTGAATGGACAAGATTCTCGAAATGAGGACCATCCACCTTTGGAAATATTGATCCACACTGAGAACACACTGACTGGCTTAATTGGCACAAGTGGGCCAGGGATGCCATATACCACTCCTTCTGAGCTTTGGATGGGAAAACGCTGAGCACAAAGAAGCATTAAACCCGGGAGCACTCAGTTTCTACTGCTGAACCCTCCTTAGCCTAGTGTGGAGATCACACATCCGAGTCTCATAATCTGAGCTAAAGGGAGATAGTTTTTTGAGTGCCCTACTTAGAAAATGCAGAGACGGAGTCTGGGGGGATATGTAGGAAGGAAGGAGGGGGTTGATTCACAGTGATCAAACAGGAGTCTCATAACCTGTCACATAGCCACATTAACAATGTTCCTTTGGGACAGGTCCTGGGAAGTGCTTGTTGGCTGCTACCTATGAGTTGCTACAGATAAGGAAGACATTGTTTGTCCAAGATCGAAAGGTCACTTGAATGCTGGGGTCCCTCTGGAGGTGGAGAAGTGCTGTCTGGCTGACCGTCTCTATGGGGATATTAATGTGCCCTCATCCTGTCCACAGGGCGGTGAAGGCCCAGGACATGCGGCTGGAAGGGGACAGAGCCAGTGGTCCCCTTTTTTTGTTTTCCCTGCCTCAGATACTCTGAGGAACCTTGCTTGCTTCATGATCCAAACCGGTGACAAATTGGGATGGCATCTTGGCCTTGTTTCTGATTCTTCAAGACTGATGTATAGGGCAGCAACACAAGCGTTGTTAGAGTCACACCTGAAATCCTGATTGCTCCAAGCTTCTTTTTGTACGCTGCTGCTGCTTAATGGAGGTTAGTAATAAATATTAAAGGAACCAAGCCAAGCACAGGGTTCTTTCCTACTGGGAGCAAGTTTGACTTATCTTCTGGGTCTGTCATTAGGTAGAACATGGAACTAGCTTCTTCAGATTCAAGAGGATACCAAGGCAGGCAGACATTTGGAGGAAGGAATTGAAAACCCCTCACAAGCTCTCTCTTGGGGCCCTGCCTGGGTCTGAAGGGAGATGCCAAGGAAAATTCATCCTGGAGGAAGAGGTGTGGCTACTCTCACCAGCTCCATTCAAGCATGTGACAAGGTTCTCCAGCCTGGTCACAAGGAGTTCCCAAGAAAAGCGTCCCCTGAAGACTTGGGCCATGCACACCCCTCGTTCCCCTCTTTCGGTGGCCCTTTCATTTGTTTAGGTGGGCAGAGGCTTTCAGCTGGGCTCCAGCTTTGGGAAGGAAAGGCACTCCCTCCACTTCTGCCTTTGGAGGAAAGCTGTGGCTCAGCAGCTCCGCCCGACCCTGGGTAGTGGCCTCGGCTGACCCACACTCAGCAGGACACTCAGCATGGAGGCTGATGGGAGCACCAAGGTAGAGCCTGAGCAGCACCATCGCTGTTAACTGCTGTGGTCAGGGGCTCCAGGGAGCTCAGAGCTTCAGAGGTGTTCCCTTTGGGAGAGTTGGCTATGTGAGTGAAACTTGAAAAAAGAAAACCAAAAACCCAACCCACCACCATAGCAGAAGTGGGAATCCATGGAACTGCCAAAAGAGGGGGAGCATCGCCTTGGCATTCTCAGCCAGGACACTCCTCCTGTCCTTCTGACTCTGTGCACAGACTCAGGGTAGTGTCCTGGTTTGGAATCCACCAGCCCTCTGATGCTCACAAGTTTGTGCAAGTGATGAAACTGAAAAGACTGAGAAGAAAACAGAAAAGAAAATGCGTAAGACCTTCCCTCCGCAGGCTCTCAACCACAGCGACCAGAGCCCCGTGGACAAGGACACCGATTGTTTAAGGCTAAAACAGCAGGCAGGACTGGGAGGGAGGTTCTCTCTGTGGGGGTGGCCCTGTTCCCGTCCTCTCGGGACAGCAGGGAGGCAGGGAAAGAACACAGATCACGGGTTCCAACACAAAGGGCGTCCCTGTGGAGGGAGTCTTTGGAAGGCCATGCAGGTCCTTAGCACTAGACAATGGGAGTGGTGTGGCTGCCACTGCGACTCCAAGGGTTTAGTCTGTGGCTGGGGAATAAAACACACATAAAGGGGCAACAAAGATTTACACTGTGACGTGTGGGGTGTCAGTGCGGCTCTATTCTCTTTCGGCTACCACTTCTTGCAGTGCAGGTGGAGATGCTTCTGTTCCTAAAAACACAGTAACAACCATTCATGTTGCATAGCCCATGATGCATGCACACGTTCAGTTAACCAATACTGCCACCACGCTGGGCTCTAAAGAACATTATAACCACAGCCACCTCTTCCCTAAGCGTCCAGGAATGACTGGGATACACGAGAGCCAGCCAAGTCCTACGAGAATTGGCAGCCTTGGTTGTGATCAGGTTGGTCACTTTGGACAAGCGGAAAAGCAGCACTCAGAGTCCGAGCAACAGCCTCTGGGCTGGTGGGCCGAACATTACTCACTCTGTGCCGTTTCTGGCTCCTGACCCTTCCTATCTTTTGGCTGTTGCTGCCCATTGCTGGCTCTAGACAGTCAGAACCTTGTAATTCGCTTGCCCTTGTTTGCTGCATCTTCACTGAGGACTCTTCATTCATTCCCTATCCAACTCCAGGCTGGCCAGACATGAAACTCCTGGGGCGTAAGCCAGGCTTACTGAACCTGGAGGGCGATGGTGGTGGGTGACCACTCCACTGGTCAATGTTACGGTCTTGGAAGGTGACAATAAAAGCTTTCAATTCACAATTTATCCCAGTTTTGGGTTTATAGGTTATTTATAACTGGAAACATGCTCTGCGAGTACAGAGAAGTAGGTAGTCATTGACCAATGAGTTCCTCACTCTGTTATGTTCAAGGGGAAAGCCCTCACCACACAGCAACCCCCTTCACTGTGGGCTAGTGCAGGTCCTCAGAGAGGCTTACCTTCTTTCCAGCCCTCAGCAACACCAGCAAGCTCGTAGTGCTTTTTTCGAAGCTCTCCCAGTTTTTGACGCTCCTTCTGCAGTTCATTTTCTAGCTCTAGAACCCTAACCTGTGGAGAAAGTGTTTTCTTTTGAGCAGCAATCTGAGAACTGTCTTATTTTGACTTAATCCTTTTCCCCATGTTCCAGTTTTCTTCCATATTATTCCATAGCTTACCCAGTTCTCAATTCCAACCTTGTCTCTGCTCTAATTTCTCAACCCTCTCATTCATTCATCTATTTCATCTATCTTCTCACCAGGACCCTCTACTAGAAATGAATGATGCTTTATAGTCTGAATGCCTGAAACAGAGTAGGGCTATCTTAAGTTCCTTTAATAAATCACTATCTAAAAACAACCCTACTGTTTGGCATATCTAGTCATAGCCCTTCAATCTCATTTTCCTGGAAGTTCAGGCAGGAACCAAATATGATGGTTCAAACATCTCTAAAGGGTTCGTGCAACTTAGGAGTTATTACTATGCAGGCACAATCTCACTACAGGTGAGGCTGGTTGTGGCTGTCCCTATTCCTGATTAATTTTAGTTATTTTATTTATTAATTCAAGAAATAGTTTGCTGAGCACCCATCACGTAACCCAGGCCCTGTAGGTGCTGATGACATTGTGGTGCATATACAGACGAGGTCCCTGCTTCCTTTGTAGGGGAAAGAGACAAACTAACAAACAAGAAAAGGTCAGATCATAAAGAAAATGACACAAGGTGAAGGGATAAATACTAAGGATGGTCAGAAAACGAAATAACTTTGGAGCTGAAACTTAAATGGCTGTAAGAGATCAGCTATTCAGAGAACTGGGGAATAATATTCCAGTAGAGGAAGCAGACCCTAACGCAGGAATGAGCTTGAGATGTAGGAGAACAGAAAGAATCCTGCGTGGTTGACTGAAATGTGAGAGTGGGAGAGGGTCATGAGATGAGGTTGAAGAGGCAGGTAAGGATCATTTCACCCAGGCCCATACAGGCCAGGGTTAAAAATTTGGATAGTACTCTAAGTACAAAGAGAAGCCATTGGACGATTTAAAGCAGGGAAGTAACATGTTGTCACTTAGGTTTTTAAATTATGTAGAGAAGGAGCAAACTGTGGAGGGGCAAAAGTGGAAATAACTAGACCCAGTTAGATGGTTCCTTTTTTTGTTTTTAAACTTTTTATTACTGGAAATGTGAAACACATGCAGAAGGATGGAGATTGGTACAATGAACCCCACCATGTGCCTTCTACCTAGTTCCACCACCTGTCAACTCATGGCCCAACTTGTCTCAGCAATACTCTTTCCTGTTCTCTCTCCCGTGGCCACCCGGGCCAGCCCCACCACAGGATGACTGTGAAACACTGACTCACATATGTTATAGTTCAGTTGCTTTTGCAGTAGCTCAGGAGAGAGCTCAATGGCAGCTTAGACTAGGTTAGGGAGATGGGAAATAGTGGGAAGATTAATTAAGACTGTCATTTGGAAATTTTGAGTTGATAAGACTTTCTGGTACATTGGATGTAGAGGGTGAGGGAAAGAGGAACCAAGGATGACTCCTAGGTTAGGGGCTTGGCACCCAGGTGGGTGGTGGTGGTGCCATTTACTGAGATGGAGAAAACTAGGGAAGGGACAAATTTGGGTAAGAGGGAAGCCAAAATACCTGTTTTGGATGTTAAGTTTGAGATGCTTATTGAGCATCAAATGGAGATATTGTCAGCAGTTGGAAAAATATAGAGCTCAAAGAGAAGAACTAGGCTGGGGAGAAGAATTTGGTATTTATCAGCATACAGATGGTATTTAAAGTCAAGAGGGGCTAGTTGAGACTAGTAAACAAGAGAGTGTAGATAGAGAAGACTCAGGCTTGAGCTCAGTTTTTTCAGTATATACACAGAAATTTGGCCACATGACTTTTCATAAAGATACCTCCTGAGTGTCCCATTCATAGATTTTAATAGTTTTAATCTCGACTTTACCCCAAAATTGATGACCAATAATTCTAGAACAAGGATGTCAGGTTTGGGGACACAAGTTGAAGATTAGTGGGCAAGAGTTAAGGTTCTGATCATTACTAATTGCCCCTCTTCACGTCCACTGTTTCTTCCAGCATCATTTACATTCACTCTTGGGCTAAAAGGTACACCTGAGTTCATTTCCCCACAAGTATCTCTCTCACTGGCTTCTTACAAGGGGGATAATATTTGGGATCAACATCATAAGTCATAAAACTGGCTAGACTCAGAGATGGAGTTCTTACTTGGGAATCCATCTCCTGGCGTTTGATCTGGGTCAGCGTCATGCTTGAGAAGTCCATGTTGTCTGCAGGATGGAAACGAGAAGTTCTTGTCAAATAATACACTAGGCTGACTCTCGCTCGAGAGGTGACCCATGCCAGTGGTCTACTGAAATGCTTGGTTTGCCATTTACTTGTGTATGCACAGTGCAAGGGATGGAGAGGAAGAAAGACGCAGTGACAGGGTGACCAGAGTCAGAACTCCCATTCCTCAACACCCCTCCTCCTGCCCCAGACAACCAGCCTATAGATGCACTTCTTTGAATTCAGAGAAATGGATAAATGGAAAATCTACCTAAAGGTGTGTCACTATAGCGATATAAACAGCATGCTTATGTGGTGTCCCTTCTTATGAGAAAATAAGTATTTATCCAAAAAGATGAAAAGTAAAGAATTTAAAAACAGAACTGTGGTAAATTGGGATCATGGAGACTATAAAGAGCAGCTAAGTCGGATGGATAAAAAAAAAATATTGCTTCTGAAAGGCTACCTGTTTCCTCAATCTGTGATTTGCCAGAAATGGTTGAGGCCACAACTCCAGCCGTGGCCTGGTTCACCCCGCGAGAGGCTTGCTGCAGCTGGGCCAGGTTTGGGCTGTCCTTATCAGCTTTCACCTGCCAGAACCAAGCATATTTAGGTTCACATGATATAGAGTGGTGGCAAGGACTGAGTCAGAATTGGACTGACGGTTCTTGACAAATATATGTGATCCGCTGTGGTTACCAATCAACTTCTCAAAAATTGTTGCCTGTGGGGCAACTCCTGGCACATCTTTAACATAAAAGATGATTCCTGGCTTATTTGCTTGATGGCCTCAAACTCTAGCTTAATCAGGTATTTTGATGAAGTGTTCCAGTTGTGAAAACCAATTTGGGATAAAAATAAATAAGGATGATAAAAGAACACTCCCTAGGATACTGTTTAACTCACTGAAGAATTTTGGCGACAAGCTTTGCATTAGGATTAGTTGGGGCAATGGTTCAAATTGGAGACTCTCGAGGAGAGGCCGACACTGGCTGTGGAAGCTCTGGGCCAGGCCAGCTAAGCACCCGACTGCTCCGACCCATTCCTTATGTGAGAGCTCCTGGGTGCTGTGATTGCTTATCAGAGGTCGGCACCATTGGGACCCTCGAAGGCCACTTGTAACAAAGTGAGGCGAGCCAAGAGGAGAATATGTGGTGGGCTGGGTAGAAGGGCTTGTTACTGACAGATGAAAGGCTTTCAGGGGGAGGTAGAAGGGGACCCTTGCGAGTCAGAACTAATTTGGGACCCAGCCCACCGGGACCCTGGGTAAATCATCTGTTCTTGGAGGCAGCTCCCTAGTCCAAGTATGTCTAACCTAGTAGCCAGGCCTTAGAGTATCCCAGGAATACAGGTCCTACCTTGGAGGCAGCCACAAGCTGGGCTGTGCTAGCAGCGATTTCATGGGAACACACCATCAGCTCCTCGAACTTCCCTCTGCCTTGTACCACCAGATCGGCTGCATCGCTGACGGTCAGGAAAGGACAAGATGAACTATGCCACCATTGAAGCCAGAGCCGCAACCCCTTCTGTTCCCACCTCTAGACCACCCCATCACCCTGCCAGCCAGGGAGCAGCGCCTGCCTGCCTGCCTTGCCTTGTGCTGCCCCAGGTGACCCAGGCTCTCTTTTAAACTTCATTAACAGTGGTTCTAGGGGCAGTATTTTCTTCCCTTAGTTATGCTCTGGGCTGGATCAATGGAGTGGGGGTGCGGGTGAGGAGCACTAGGACCGAAAGACACTTACACCATCACAGTGGCTCCCCAGCCCACAGCTTTGGAGGCTGAGATGAGTCCTTCTGTCCATCGAGAATTCTTGGCATAAAACTCTTTAGGGGATGCTGTGCCCTAGGGAAGTGAGAAATAATAATAGGTACCTTTTATTGAGTGCCTACTATGTGCCAGGTGCTTTTATATATATAACCTCATATATATTTTCACAGCCACTTGGAGAGGCAAGCATTATTATTCCCATTTTACAGATGAGAAAAGTAACATCCTGAGAGGCAAATATACTTTTCCCAAGGTCATGTAGGAAATAAATGGAAGTAAACCCTAGGCTCTTCTGACTCCAAAACTCATAGCATTTTTATTGCATTTCCACATTGTGTGTGTGTGTATATACATGTATATAATATGAGTAAAAATCTCAGAGGAGTCTAGCTGCTCTCCATGATTTGCCAAAAGGGGAGAGTATACAGTGAATACTTTTTAAGAACTATTTCTACTTGGGTTTTAAAAATGACCTTACGCTTTGAGAGTATCTTACAGTCTGAGAATCTGCAGATACTCCCTCCTCAGTCTCTTTCTACTTTTGGGGACCAGAACATCACTTCTCAGACTGATAAAAAGCACTACCAAAGCACATATGGTTTTGTTCTTTATGTGATTGTTTTCAGGCTCATAAACCTTCCCAGGACCTTTGTCTCTTGAGTTGCAGCTGCATCAGGGATGTCAGAAAAAACGAGATGGCAATAATGCCAGCAAAGGGATGAGAAAGTCACAGTGCTGAAGTTGACACGAGACCGAGGCAGAGTCTGCGCATCGCTGCCAGTTGGCTGCTGTTGCAAAGGGACACAGCAGAGGCCACTGTGAAAAGTTAGCGCCAGGTTCGTTCTTCTGATCTGCTTAGTTTTCAAAAGCTCTATGTCCTCCTGCGCGGGCCCAGGCTTGCAGTGCACACTGGGTTTCCACAGCGGGTTCCAGTGATCTCTCTGGGTCAATGAACCTGCAGCCAGAAGCTGTGGCTGGCTGCTCTCTGGGGACCTGGCACTGTTCCAGCTTCTTCCCATGATGTCTGCTGACATCCAACGGGTGGCCGTTGTGCCCTCAGATAAGACACATAGGGTGAGACAACTGCGTATATAGATTTCACTGAGTGTGGACAAGTACACCGTGTAGACTCAGCCGCTCAGTGAGCTGGGAATCTGCAATTACCGCCTGTTCTGCTCTCCCCGTCCATGGGCCATCAGCCATGCTTACCCGGCCGCTTTCCACTATCTCTCTCTGGAGGTCCTTCGAGGCTACAACCAGGACCTGAATAGCTTGCATTAAACTGGTACAAGATCCAAGAATCCTGCAAAACATTAATTAATTAATGTAATTAAATAAAAAGAGGTGAGGGATACAGGACAGAGACCAACAATGAAGAAAACTGTTCTTTTTTTCCACTCCTAAACACAGGCAAAATTGGAAAGGGAAATAAGGCAGGGAATGCTCTGTGGGTGAAGCCCTGAAGAAAAGCAGGTAAGTTAGGAGACTGATCGTGGATCTTCTTTGTAAGGAATAGCTAAGTGAGGATTCTTGGGGGTTTCTTTTCCCCTATTACACAACAGCGATACTATCACCATCATTAATACTGTTTTTTGACAATTACATAGACTCAACTTTTCCCTGTGGCTGCCAATGTTCTACTCTAATTAGTATAATCCAATCCAGGCAAGACTGATCCTGGTCACCTACGTGCCACCATGCTGTTCAGACTGACCTTTCGTTCACTTCCAATTTGACTCCCGTGTCTCCTGCTCGAGATTTGCTGAGCATCTCCTGTTAAAAAGAAGCAAGGTTCTTAACATGTCACAGGTACTGAGAACCACTGGTGTCCTATTATACTTTGGGCCCAATATCCAAATCTAGACTATCTAGAATCTAGAATATCTAGATATTCTAGACTCTAGAATAATTCTAGATAATCTAGAATTTTGGGCCCATCCACATACTTGCAAGAATTGGGAAAAAATTTAGACTTCTGATCTACTCAGTGGATCTACAGCAGGCCGGCTCTCCTGACATTCTGGCACCCAGGCTCACATGCACAGAACTCTGAGAGCTATGGCACCATGTCAGGAGGGGCAGCTGCTACCAGGTCCAGGAAGCAGGTACTCACACCAAGGCAGGTGGCTTGAGTCTTTCACCACAGGAGCAATATGTGACCTTTCCAAAGGTGCCCCCTCAGCTTTTCCCTGAGACAAGCATTATCATTGATTTACTGAGTGCCTAGCATGGAGAGAGGTGGGCATTGTCTCTTCTCTTTTTTAATCCTCATCCGAGGACATGCTTATTGATTTGAGAGAGGGAGATGGTGGTGGTGGGGAGAAACATCGATCAGTTGTTTCTCGTGTGTGCCCTGACTGGGAACCAAACCAGCAACATTTTGGTTTATGGGACAACATTCCAGCGAGCCACACGGGCCATTGCGAGATGTGCATTATCTCATTTAACTCTTAAAACACCCCTCTGAATTAGGTACTTTTACTATCAACATCATAGCAAAATGAAATCTGACTCTTAGCAAGGTTGAGGTAACTTATCGGAAGTTGTACAGTTCGTAAGTGGTCAGCCAATCCAGAACCTGAATGCAGGATGGGCTGATGCCCACGAATGCGATCTTTGAGGAAACTGCTCACCTTCTCTTGGTGAGGACTTTCTCATTTTCTATCCTTCAGCTATCCTGTGAGTTCCGGTTCTGGTTTCTTTTTATAGGGGGGCCCTGAAGCCTTATTGAACAACTAAGATACATTCAATAGGAAATGTTACCAAAGGGTAGCTGCAAGAGCATTGCTTTAGGAGATCATCAGATACTCCATACCTCTATTCTGGCTGTAGCAGTTTCAATGGCAGCTGAAGTAGCAGCCAGCTCCTTGTCCACCAGGTCTCCTAGTTCCTCCTGTTTGATGTCCAGGCCTCTGGGCAGGAGCTCCTGTGAACAGATCACAAGGGCTTAAATGACCCTTTGACCTCCTCTTTTCTCCTGTGGCAGACCTGTAACCCTCACATGATGGCAGAAGGTGGGAGGACCCCTACCACATAACACACTTCTGCAAGCCATAGAGGGGCATCCCTAATGGGCCTTGTCTGGAACTCTCTACCATGTGAACTCTGGAACCTCGTGCTCCACCTCCTCTACCTTCACTCAGAACCCACCTCGTTCCAGGCCACCCCTGCGTACCCCTGCAAGGCCGTTCAGTTGCAGCTGCAGGTACTTTTACCTGCACAGGTCCTAACCCCACAGCTGCAGTGTTGACTGTTTGATGCTTGGGATGTTTTAAAAACCTCTTCAAATGTAGACAATGTCTTCCCATCAGAGAGCCTGCCCCTTATTTAACTTCCCACAGCAGTCGTGTGAAGCAGTTGCCACTCCTGCTGTACAGATGGGAAGCCAAGGCTCACAGAGATCAAATGTTTCGAACATGGTTATACTGCTAAGAAATGGTGAAGCAGGGATCAGAACGCAGGTCTGATGGCCCGTTATTTTTTTAAAACATTATGTGTTATAAATGCAGGTGTATAGAATAGATACAAATGGTTTAAAGAATAAGAAAATGACCCATGTTATCCAACCTAAGAAATAGCTTAAGAAACATTACTCGTACCTTTGAAATCTCCTTTGCATCCTGCCCTGATCCATCTCCCTTCTTCCCTACTCCTCACACCAAGATAAACACAGAATTCAGGAGAATACTTACAATGTCTTTGTATTTTAAGTCCGTAAGAATGCATCCTTAAACAATACAGTGTTAAATTTGCATGTTCTGTTCTTTATTAAAATGAACCATACTGTGTATGTTTTCTGTGACTTGCTTCTTCACTCAGCATTCTGTGTATGAGAGTCCTTCTATATCCTAGTAATTCGATTCCTAGATGTATAAACTCTAGAGAAACTTTTGCACTCACGCATACGAAGATGTAAGAATGATCATAGTGACACATTCATAACAGGCCCAAACTGGAAATAATCCAAATGTCCACCAAGAGGAAAAAAGATATAGAAATTAAGTAATATTCACATGATAGAGCATGGTAGAGCAGTGAAAACAAACATATCTGCATGGATGAATCTCACATACAGAACGTTGGTAAAAGCAAGCTATAGAAGAAGAGTCTTTAACACGTTGAACTAACAATATGAAACTGGGGGTGGGAAGAATATAGTTTTTCTATTATCTTCTTCTGGAACTGATTAAACATTCTACATGTAACCTCTACATTCCAACATATAAAATCTGTGCCATAGTCTATGTAATTCCTTCAGTTCTATCATCCAGGTCCCTAATTCTTTCTTTGGCTTTGTTTTAACCCACTATTGAATCTGTATATCTTAAGGTTATTACTTTCAATGATTATATATATTTTCCATTTCTAGAAGTTCCATTGTTGTTTTTCAAATATATCTCGTTTGAAACTTACTCCATCACACTTTTAATACCTTTTAAAAAGTTCTTTAATATGTCAAACAGTTATTGGTAACTTATAGTCCTTGGGATTATCTATGAAACTTCTTTGAGGTTTAGAATCAAAGTGTATTCCTTCAGAGACAATTGGGGTCTGTTTCTGCCAGGTAACTGGGCCCCCAACAACCTTAGGCTTTAAGCTTAATTTTCCACTTCAAGTTTTTTAGGCCACTCTGGTAAGTATGAGATTTGAACCTGAATCCGTGGAAAGGAATCCTCTTGGCAGCCATGTTTGCTGCCTCAACTTGTCAAAGTTAAGAAAAGAACTTCCCTGTAGGGCAGGATTTTTCCCCTCATTCACTTCAGACTTCCTTTTTGGGGAGGAAGGCTCCCCGTTCCAATCTTTAGTCATACTTGGACCTAGGTTTTGTTTCTTATTCTCTTACGTGTGGCCCATTAAAATCCAAATTCTAGGCCACCAGAGATGGACAAACACTGGTTCTGGTATTCTTTTGGTTTCTGACTTTGAGAATCATAGTTTTTATTTTTTAAATTATATTTTATTGATTATGTTATTACAGTTGTCCCAATTTTTCCCCCTTTGCCCACTTCTACCCAGCAACACCCCCTCCCTCAGGCATTCCCCACACCATTGTTCATGCCCATGAGTCATGTGTATAGGGTCTTTGGCTGCTCCATTTCCTACACTGTACTTTACATCCCCATGGCTAGTCTGTAACTACCTATCTGTACTTCTTAATCCCCTCACCTCTTCACCCATTCCCTTATATCCCTTTCCCAATTGGCAACCATCAAAATGCTCTCCGTATCCATGATTCTGTCTCGGTTCTTCTTATTCACGCAGTTTGTTTTTTAGATTCAATTGTTTGATAGATAGCCCTCCTCAATTTTTGTCCATCACATGTGGACGTGGGACCAGCCCATGTTGTTTCTCCACTCCTCCTACCAGTCTGGATGGATGTGGTTGTTTCAATTCTGTAGCTGTCAGACTTCCATTCAACTTGATTTCTGAGTTCTGAGTGATGGTGGTTCTATATTTTAGTTGTAATTTGTTCTATATTTTAGTTGTAATTTTTTATTTTTTAAGGTTTTATTTATTTACTTTTAGAGAGAGGAAAAGGGAAGGAGAAAGCAGGAAACATCAGTATGTGAGAGATACAGTGATTGGTTGCCTCTTGCATGCTCCCCACCTGGGACCTGGACTGCAACCCAGGCATATGCCCTGACTGGGAATCGAACTGGTGACCTTTTGGTTCGTAGGCCAGTGCTCAATCCACTGAGCCACACCAGCCAGGGCTATTTTAATTTTAACTTTGATATGGTTGTATAAGGAGGTGAGCCATGTTTACCTATGCCACCATCTTGAAGTCTCCTCAGTTTTTAGCCAGTTCAGATTCAATGAAAAAAAATTTTTTTTTCAAATTTTACTCAGCATTTTTCATGTCCTATTCTGGGAAGAGCCTCTAAACATCTGGTAAACCCTAGTGCCAGGAAGGAAACTTGCTTATGATCTTTCTGTCACATTTTGATTTGCCTTCATTGATTTATCTCTTCATGGTGTCCTACATACTTTGCATGTACATACTGATCTCAATTCTCCACTACACTGGGCAAGACGCTCTCTCTCCAACAACAGGCAGACTGTGTAATGCTGCCTCAGCTGCCACACCAATTTAACAAGACCAAACTATCACCATGATTATGTCACCCTGTGAAAGGGAGGTTAGCAATTCACCATTGTCCATAGCCTTCCTTATTCAGACCTTCAAGTTTCTCCACCTCATTGTCCTCTTCTCCCCAGTATGAACCTTCCTCCCCTTCCTGATCCATCTTTGTATCTGGTTTGCTCTCTCTGTGTGCATATTCAATTAATTAAACATTGGTGAGGTGTTAACCATCTGCCAGATACTATGCCATGGACCAGGGATACGATATGAAGAAGGTATGGGCTCTACCTCTGAGGGCTCACTGGGGGAAAATAGGCAGGTACTCAGGCATGTTACAGTGGCAGCCACCACCTGCAAGGTGAAGGGAGTGCAAGGGGAGCCCAGAAAGGTGACTACGGGCCAGACTCTGAAGGTCCTTGTATGTCACGTTACATAATATGATTTTTGTTATCAAACCAGAGAAATCATAATCAGATCTCTGTTTCTGGAAGACAGCAGAAGAAAAAAGAGGCCAGAGGCACAGAAAGTAATCAGAGGCTGTTTGAAGAGAAACTAATTAGAAGGCTGTTTAATGAGCGATGATGAGGATCTGAACTCTGGCCCTGATCTCCTCCTTCCCTGAACTTATCACCACACATTTTAGGAATTAGTTAAATGCTGCCTTGTACTGTACTCTTAAAACAGATCTCTATTTCACTTCTCATCACACTGCCCAGAAATGACTGCTTTCTTTTCCTTTCCTCTAGAGCCATGTCTTATTTGTCCCTATATAACTTCACCTAGCACAATTCCTAGTATACAGGACGTATTCACTACATCTTTCTTGAGTGAATAAATATATATCACTATATCCATTCTAGGTGTCACCTGCCCAACCACATAAAAATCCTCGAATATGTTTATTCTTCTTTGATCTAGCCTAGCATAATGATGACCACACAGTGAATTCTTAATAGCCAATGAATTAAATGTAACTAGAATGTCGTGCAGGGAGGTCAGATTTTTCAGCTCTCTTAACTTTCTAGAATTAAGTGTAAAGTGCAGAAAGAACTGGCTTAGGACATCACCGACTTCCTGGCAAATCACAGGCACTCTAACCCAAGAACAACAATGACTTTCCCCAGTGATGACACTGATAATACCTCGCCGATGGCTGTGATCTTGCTGAGGCAGCTCTTCATGGCTGTGCTGTTGACATTCTCAAGGGTTCCTTCTTCCTCCAGGAAAGCCAGATAGACAAGGGTTTCCTTGCCATACTGCTTACAGGCCTCGGTCAGTGCTGGTGAGGCAAGGTAATAAGGACTTTTAAATGCCCTCTGCTCCCCCAGCTTTGCTGAATGCCCACCCCCCACCCTGGTACTCACCATCAGCAGCCTCTGGTGGGGCTCTAAGGCAGGTGGTGCCACCTTGAACAATGGTGTCACTGGTCAAGTGGGCAAGGAGGGTTACCGAGTGCAGAAGCCCACTGATATCTGCCAAGAATTTAAAGGAAAGTTTCTCAGTCCTGCTCGGAGGTGTCACTTTCACATGTCCACCCTCCCCACTTTACAAGTTGTACACACTCCTTGCTTGATAGAGAGGAACGCACGGTTTCCACATTCAAGCATTTCTGAACCCTACTGAGCCATCACTGGTGACAGACTCTATCCTTTGCCTTTCTTACCTTCTGGGCGGGCCAGGTACTGGCTCCAGCATTTTTCCAGTTGCTCAATACAGCTGGAAACATACTTGACCGTGGAAAGAAGGTGATCTATGATAGGAAAAATCGGGCAAAGTCAAAGCTAGAATTGTCGCAGCTTGCTTTATCCCTGTTAGGTAAGTCGCTTGATGGATGAGCCTACCTAGTGAGTGGCTCCAGCCCTATAGGAGCTGCCCTAAGGAGGAGGAAGGAAGAAAAGCTCCTCGGTTACACTGGTACGTGATTCTTTTATTGTAGCTTCAAAAGCTGTGCTTCTCAGACTACTTGGTCTTTAGCTGAGAACCAGGGCAACAACATTGCCCTTCTAGATTCTGCATCTCACTTCTCATTACTGTCCGTTGTATCAAATCCAGACTTTCCTGTTAAGTTTTTCAAGGCCCTTGGACTCTCACTCATCTTGAGCCCAGAGCTTTGGCTCCCATGAGGCTAATCTGTGCTCGTGCTCTGCACGCCAACAGTCATTCCCACTGCGGTGCCTCTGTGCACACGGCCGCGGAGACTGTGTTGTACAGCAGTTACAGCATGGGCTCTCCGGGCACTAGGCCCAGCTGTGGCTCCTGGCTCTACCACCACTGGCTGTGATCTCATGCCGTCTGTGCCTGCTTCCTCGTCTGAAAACAAAAATAACAGCAACACCTCTGACATCACTGTGAGGATTTGCTGGGCTAAGGCATTAAAAGTGCTTAGAATAGTGCCTGGCACAGAGAAAGCAATGTCAGTTATTTTATTATTTCCCCCTTTTCTTCCTCCCCCATTGGTTCACGTCTTTCCTCTTCCTTCAAAAGCTAGCTCATCACACCTTTTCCCAGAATCTTCCTGCAGTGGCCCCACTGCCTGGCACTCCCTCAGTGTGCTCCTTCATTCGCATGGTTGCGTTTCCTTGCAGATGTGTTCCCTGTTGAGTAAGACATTAACAGTCCTTGCTGTGGACTTCACCACATCGCAACCTTTCCATTTGATAATCAAAATCAACTGTCAGCTGTCTCTTCCCATCTGTCCACCCTTCAGTGGATCTTCTTGTTACTTTGCCAACATGTCTTCTCTGCTACAGAGTGAGCTGTCATGAGACTGCTCATGACTATGATTTCACAAATCCCCGGGCCTGGGTGTTCTTCCGTCTAGTGGGCACGAAGGCTCTCCCGTCTCATTGAGAGGGCTTCTCTGACTTGGACTGCTGCTCTGCTCGCATGCTCTTAGGACTCTGGTACTTACCAAGTAGGCCCCTGGTCACACCTATGACGACGTGGGGATTTTTATTGTTTCTGCCTCTCCATGCATATGATGCCTACCTGTCTTGACTTGAAGCTCATGAGCAACTACCCCTTGACTCCGAGCACATTTCCCTTCTTAGACACAGGATTGCCTGCTCCTCCTCCTCCTGGCCTTTAGAATTGTTGTCGGAGCCCGACTTCCCGTAGGTGTTTCAACAGTGTGACCCACGACCAAAGCAGTAGTTATCACACCTGGAGGCTTTAGAAGATACTACTGCCCAGGCCCTGGACCAAACAGCCTCCTGTCAGACTGACCTGGGATTGGGGCCTAGGCACCCCCAGGGAGCTGTGACATGAGGCTGGGCTGAGAGCCCCTGAGTTCAGCGTCACATAAGATTTAATGCCAACAGGATTCAGCACCTGCAAGCAGGGAAGAGTACCTGCAGATCCGGCACAGCTGACAAGACTGGGCTCCTCAAGCCGCCCCAGAGCCTCCTGTATCACCTGCTCCGCAGCCTTCCTTGACTCTGCTAGAAGCATTTTCCGTTGGTCCTTTGCGAGCTGGCACATAGATTCCTAGAAATGGTGCAGGGAGGTGAGAGTCTGCCTCAGACCCCATAACAGTCTCCGACCAGCACCCACCGGTGGCACAGCTGAGGGTCCTGGCATCTTAGCTCAAGTTGTTGCTTTGTCCAAGGTGTGTGCCACTGAGCACAGGAGGCTATGGGGATGGACCACTGCAACCCATTCTCTAATCTTGGGGATAGAGTACTAAGTGCATCTCTTTTTCATACGAAAAAGGAGAGCTCTGCTTTCCCTCATCTGGTCTGTGGGTGACGCAGAGCATGCAGCATTAGGGGTGATTCCTACAAATGTCTTCACAATCAGGCGGGAGGGTCTAAACCCCTTTCACAGCCCCCGACCCTCCATGAGTCCGCTGCTGATGCCCATGGATGAGAGGTCGAACTTGGTCGGCCTCAGGGTATCTGTTACTTGCCTGTGTGCTGGACAGTTTGAGCTGGGTGCATTCCAGCTGTTTCTGAAGAGTAGAGAATTCCTCTTCTCGACGAGCCACGGCATTCACCAAGCTGTCCCGCTCCTTCTCCAGTTCAGCAATCTGGGTCACCCATTTTTCTTTTGACTATAATGGCAACCGCAGGAGAACAGGGAGTTGCTGAGAGGAATTAAACCGTCCCCTTCCCAGAAGTTCAAACCTACCACGAGGCCACAAGGAACAGAAGGGTCCTATCTCTTTAACCTGTCACTTTCATTCCCCTGAGTACACACTGATCACAGATGGGACCAGGTTGGCCATGGGCTGGAGCATGACAGAGGCTCAGTAACAGCAATACGAAAGCCAGGGGAGGGGAAATAGGGAGGGAAATAAAGATGGTGCGCACCTGGGCACACGTTTCCAGGCTGCCTTGGACAATCTGGAGTTCCTGTTTGCTGGTGGCAAGTTCTTGCTTCAAGTTCTCTAGTACTTCCGTCTGTTCTTGAGTCTGAAAGAGAAGAAAAACAGGAGCACCCTGATCTAGGTGGTGGGCACAAGGTGTAAACACATGTAAAAAAAAAAATGCCTGACCTATCAATGAGATTTGTGTACTCTTTTTGTTATGGAAAAGTTTTACCTCAGCAAAATGGGGAGGGAGGAAAGGAGGTGAGAACTCTGAGTGTACAAATATTTTTCTTCTGAGTAAGTGGAATATCAAGGGGGGAATTTTAGGACATTTCCCGAGTGCCATGCTTAAGCCCATAATACTCATTAAAGTAGAAATGGATCTTTAATTCAGGCATCCCAACACTGGTACACTGACAAATCTTGCCATCTAGAAATATTCCCTTTCTTTGATTTCTAAGTGGTGTTTTTCAAAAAGCAGGTTGTGTGACCCATTACTAAAATTCATGGCTAACATTAAAAAAAAAAACAGCAAAAAAAAAAAATATCCCAATGCATTCACATAGTAATGATAAGTATTTCTTTGTGAAAATTTGTTTCCATTAGATAGATGTATATTTTTACTCTGGGTGACAGAAAACATAAAAGCCAGTACTTAAAGTGCAAAGCATTTAATTTTATCCATCCAACATCACTTACTCCAAAGTAACCTGCCTGTCAATCCTACCCTGACTCCCGGGGTTTCCTCTGGCTCCAACTCCTTGTAAACGCTTGTCCCTCTCTCCGATATCCACGTGCTTTTACTTCAAACTCTCCTCCAGACTTGCCCCAGGAAAGCCTTTGCTGATGAAATTCACTCAGCTTGGATCCCTCCATCACTTCTAAACCCCTGTGCCTCGGTAACCACAATCTACTCTATATGGCCTCTTGTAGCACCCTCACAGGGTTCCAACCCACGGAGCTGGCTGCCTGAGCAGCAGAGGACAAGGCTTTGGATCAAGGTCCGCCTCCAACTCAGATGGACCCCTCCATCATTTCCCACGTGGTCTCCTTCCTACTCACCTTCCGCTGGGCCTGCTCACTTATGCGCTGGAAGGAATCCTCTAGCTCTTTTTTCTCTCGCTCTAAATCCACCTGGGCTTGTCTGGCCACAGACACCTGTTTAGTCACTTCTGCATTCTGTAAGGGAAGAATATTATCTTGAGGCAGCTCATCACAGGACATCTTCCTTCTAGGAAAAATGCCAGCATTCGGGCTGTTGCGTGCCCTAGAGTCAGACACAGAAATCACTGTTCTACCCAGAGGGAAGCCAGAAGAAAGCTGTCATCTGCAGAGTCTTAACTTTTTAAGTATTTAAAGAACTAATAAAGATGGGGGATAATGCAAGTGGGGCTAGCATCTAAGGTGAAGCTCAAGATATGGGAGGCAAGGGAGCCTAAAAAGCTGAGGTTCCCAAGAAATGGTGATGACCCACCAGAGACTGGTGGGGACACTGGACCTGGAGAAACTATGAGGCCCGTGCTACTCTCTGTCCCATGGTGTGAGGCCTGCGTGCGGTGAGACGTAGGTTGAGGGTCCTACCTTCCGCAGCAGGTCCGCGTGGTTCTGTACCAGCTCACTGTACTTCTCCTTGAGCTTGCTGTACCGCTGCTCATTGGCCTGGGCTTTCCCTGCGGTCAAAGACCAAGGTGAGGCACCTACCTGGTTGGGACCCTCCACCCGCCTTCCAATAAACCACAGTCTCTACAAGACCCTCCTTTCTTTTCACAAATGTATACACCTCTTCTCCCTCAAAAACCCCACGGAAACTCCTTGGGGAAGCCTTTAAAAATGAATTCACCTGACTCAAATCACCACGCCAATTCATGCCTCCTGAGCATTTCCATGCATGTATTCATTTTGTACGGGTTTTTGCCTTTAGGTCAAGTTATTCCTTGGGCTCTCTCTCCTTCGGAGATCCAGTCTCCTGGGTCAGGCACCGCCTCCCCCTTCTGTAGCCCCCCTCGCCATGCTCTCAGCAGTGCCTCACACAGATGCCCTACCTGCTGGACTCCCATCGCCTTCTGACTGGTGGCAAGAGTGGCACTGCTGACTGCTCCTCTGGACAGATGTAAAGCTGGGTGGGGCTCCGCCACCCAGCCTCCTTCATCCTGATTGATCTCCCCGACCCACCCCCTTACTCCCACCCCATCCAGCCTCTCACTTTCTATCTCTGTCAGGCTCCGCTGTGCTTTCTCCGTGTCTTCTCGCTTCTTCTTGAGCTCATCCAGCTCTGCCCGTAGGAACTCACTATCATCGGCTGCCTGCTGTCGCAGGTGCTGCTGCTCGGCCAGCTCGGCCTCCAGCTCGTTAATGCGGCCCTTCAGCTGCAGGACAGCTCGCTGGCTCTGTGGGAAGGACTTAGGTAATATGTCTGATCGCTGGCTGCTGTGGGTCAGGGGAGCTGGCCTGAGAAGCAGGCCCTATTGCGTTTCCAGCACCAACCAAATAAATATCTAGGTTTACCTAACAAGCCCACTCCCAAAGTCTCATGGGAGTTAAGCCTTCAGGTCATTACAAACCCATCCAATCAGCAACAACAGGGGATGATGGTGAGGGAATTCTGGTCCTGTTAAGAGTGGCTTGGGAATAGCGATGGATGAGTGGGAATCAGGAAGGAGAGAATGTTCTCCTGTCCCAGGGAGTAAAGACTAACCAACTCTGGGTGTGAGGGGCAAGGCACATGTACAGCAGCAGACACTGCAAACAGCCATCAGAGTTCGAAATCAAACCTTGTTATCACCATGTGAGTATAGGTCTTTCTCACCACAGCTTCATAGCCAGCTGGGGATCATGGTTATTTCTGAGGGACACTGGAGCTTGGCTTCAATGCCATTCTCAAAGCAAATACAATAGAAATGCATTACAATCGAGACCACAGAAAGACCTGACCCTATGACTCTGGCATTTCTACTAATTAATCTCCCTTAAAATGTGATCCAACAAGTATCTATGTAAGGCAATTTTTTAAAAATCCTTACCTGCGGACATTTTTTTCATTGCTTTCAGAAAGGGAGAATGGGAGAGAGGAAGGGCAAGAGAGAAAAACATCAACTGGGTGCTTCCCATATACACCTGGACCAGGAGTTGAACCCACAACCTTTCAGTTATGGGATGACACTCCAACTGAGCCATACCGGCCAGGGTTATGTGAAGCAAATTTAATCAAAATCTGCCCTGTTAAGCCAAGAAGCAGATCAGAGCCCACTTTTACCTCAGTCTTCATGTTTTCCAGCTGTGCCTTCAGCCCACTGATCTCTTGGTACAATTGATCAATTAAGTGATCCCTAGGAAGGAATAAAAGGAGAACTAGTTTGTTTCCACTGTGTTCCTACCCCTCTCCTTCTAAATGCAAGCTGGGAGATCAGGGGAGGGAGTGAACAGCTGGGGTTAATCTTAGGACAATTCTTTTAAAATCCATAAGTTTTACTCTAAGCCCGTCAGTGTTAACAGGTACTAATCTAATACCCACGGGTCCACTGTTTTTTCAGCATCACTTGATTTTCCTTTGGGATTAAAGGGGCCAATATTTGAGAGTCAAGACATTTCTCTAAGAAGCCCAAGCATCATTAAGAATTCCTCTCTGGTTAGTTGTGGCGAGTCAGATCATGGCTTAACTTAGTTTCTGCTGCATTTACATTAACTCAGCTTGGACTCACTTCTCATCCTTGTTCACACCGTTCTGACTGTTGAAATTGAAGGGATCACTGCTGAACGAGCTGCCAAAGATGTCATCAAACTTGTTGTCAAATAAATTCTGTGGTGACCAAAAAGGATTGAGGACAAAGTTAGAGATCCAGAGAATTCAAAGTGGGGGTCAAATGAGTGACACCCGAGAACGGACCCTTTCTTAATTTGGTTCCAACCCATTTGCGGTCGCTCCAGGGACCACGGGGCAGGGCGTCAGTCTAGGTTAGAGCCTGGGTTACAAGGCAGCTGACCCTGGTCCGAGCCAATGTGGCTTCCCATCCTCTCTCCTGCACTTGGGGGCAATGGGAAGAGTCAAGTTTCGCTTCCAGGTGGTCCTTACCTGCTGGGAGGCATCCAAGTCCATGAGGTCATCCTTCTCCAAGACCGGCTCGCTGTCAGGGGATGAGGCCTCAGCCGGGATCACCACCACAGGGCTGATGTGTTCTGACAGGGCGGAGGCCCGCAGGAAGTTGGGTGGGTTCTGAAGAGGGAAGACACATCCTCGAACTCTGTCACTCATCAGACCTGACAGTCTCTAAAAGAGAATCCTGGGCTCGATGGCTCCCAGGTGTGGTGGGGTGCACTTACCTCAGGCAGCTGAGGGATCTGAATGAGCCGCTTGAAGTACTGAAGGTTGCTGGAGCGGTAGAACAGATCTTTCAACCTAGGGGTGGGGAAGAGCCTGAGGAGGCTGGGGTCTTCACCCAGGGGGAAGGGGACAGTGCACACCCCAGCTTTCCTCCTGTGATTGCCCAGGCCAAAGGCACAGGCTGTCAAGGAGATGGCCCCCATGGCGCAAGGATTCAATTATGATGCTATAAAGAGTACCTATAGCCAGCCCTCACTCATCTGGTGGTGAGGAAAGAGTAACTCAAACTGCAGAATCCTTTACAAGAGTAGATAATATCCAAAAACTAATTTCTGTATCACTGTTGCTTGACAGATGTATCTTCCTAGGAGTTTGGCTTAGAGGAACATTAAAATAAATTTTTTTTTTTTCAGAATAAACCAACTACACACAGGAAAAGGGAAGGGAACTTAATTACTAAGGTAATTACTCTTAATGACTCTTTTAAATTATTCACCTTCTGTCAGAGCTGTTTGTTATCTCCGCAATTAGACTATAAGCTTCTGGGTCCCGCTGACCTAGGTTCACCATAATACCGAGCATAGAGGAATTATTGAACAAGTATTCATTGGAGAAAAACTAATTATATTGTGTCCTAGTCTTGAATGAATACGGGAATGAAGAAATCAATTTTTTTTCCCTCATCCTCAAGTCTCTATTGGGTTGGCCAAAAAGTCCATTTGGTTTTTTCCGTTATGATGGCCCTAGTAACTGCTTCATTGTCTTTACCTTCATTCAAAATAATTTTGTTAGGTTGTATTGTGACAGTTGTCACATCAGTGTGCATTTTTAAAAAGCTTATCAAAATTGGTGAATTTTTGTGCAGCCATTTTAATATTGAAGATGGAAGAAAATACTCGACATTTTTGGCATATTATGCTTTATTATTTCAAGAAAGGTAAAAACACAACCGAAACACAAAAAGAGATTTGGCAGTGTATGGAGAAAGTGCTGTGACTGCTCGAACATATCAAAAGTGGTTTGTGAAGTTTCTTGATACCATTGACATTTTGGCCAAATAATTCTTTGCTGTGGGGTTGTCTCATGCATTGGAAGATGTTTAGCAGCACCCCTGGCCTCTACCCACTAGAAGCCAATATCAGGAGACCGCCAACATGTTCAAAATATCCAAATCAATAAAGTTATTGGTGAAAATGAAAAATGTGTCTTTTATTTTCTAAAAAAAAATAATGAACTTTTTGGCCAGCCCAATATTTTATGAGGTGGAAGGGAGTCAGGAGCCTCAGCACCCTCTCTCTGCAACACAGAATTTTGTCCAACTTAGCCTAATAAACTAAATCCCTGGGGTCTCATAACAGCCAGTCAGACCCCAAGGTTGGGAATGTCCCCGTGATGTCATGCTGCTTTCCCAGAATTAGAGGACAGTGACACCTCAGAGAACCAACATGCCTATAAAAGAAAAAATGAAGTGGATATGCATGGGGGATGTTTTCATAAGCTAGAAAAAAATTAATGGAAATAAAACCACCTGACCACACATCTCCTTCTCTCTGGGATGGAGCCAACAGTAATAGGCTCTGCTGCTTTCAAAAGCTACTGGAATTTAACATTCCAGGAAATCAGCCCCAGGGCCTGTCTCCTAGGGTTTAGTAAGTCATTTATTATAGAATAAACACACGAGGCTTTTCAAATGGAACAAGGAAATCAGGAGGTTAGTACAACCCTGAACTTGTCCTCTGATTACTGCTTGGGAACCAGTTGCAGAGAAACCTAAGCTTGGGATTTGGGAGCTATGTTTTTCCTGTTGTCAAAGATGAAGAAATTAACAGGAAAGACAAGAGGGTCAAAATAAACCCTGTTAAGTTGACTCCCTTCTCAGCTCCCTCAGCTCTTCCACCTCCCACTCCATTCCTTCCCCTCTTCTTGGGCACATTTAATTGAAAGATGCGCTATACTTTTCATGTAGCTGCCAATTTTCTTTTCCAAATACATCAGAATAATGAGCCTCTCAGTCAGATAAGGTCTTCCTCTTCGAGACTAGATAGTTGGCTAATTTAGCTCATTAATTCATTCAAGTATTTCTTAAACACTATATGCTTAATTGCTATGTATCAGGTGATAGAGATATAACAGACAAGACAGTCAAACAGAAATAAAGTTGTGCTAAGAATGATGGCGTTCTGACTGGCGTGGCTCACTTGGTTGAGTGCTGTCCCACAAAGCAAAAGGTGGCCGGTTCGATTCCAGTCAGGGCACATGCCTGGGTTGCAGGCTGGTCCCCGGTTGGGGCACATGCGATCAATGCTTCTCTCTCACATTGATGTTTTTCTCCCTCTCTTTCTCCCTCCCTTCCCTCTAAACATAAATAAATAAAATCTTTTTAAAAAAATGATGAAGGAAATAAACAGGGTGCTGTGAAGAAGACTATGGGGGTGGAACAAGGTGATGCTGGAGGATCAGAAGATGGGGGAGAAGATCCCAACTCAAACAAGGTGACCGAAGACTACCTCTGAGAGTAGGTGACCAAAGATGACCTGGGGCTGGTCAGGCTGGGGCAACAGAATCCCCAGGAGAGGGAACAGAAATATGAAGGCCCTGAGGAAGGAATACGCTGACTTTGTTCCAGGAACTAAAGGAGACCCCATGCGGCTGAAACACGTGGAGTTCTGGAAATCAAGTCAGAGGTAGCGGGCAGGGGCCAGATCATGCAGGGTCTTATGGAGAAGAGCCTGGCTTTTATTCTCAGTGTAATCAGAAGCCATTGAAAGGTTCTGAGCAAGGGATTTATATTTTCACGAGGATGTTGAACTGCTGGGTGAGAATAGGATTGCAAGAGGGTGGAGTGGAAGTCTAGGGCATCCCATCAATATTGGCGGTCCTGGCGGGCAGCAATGGTAGTTGAAGAGATGGGATGAGATATGACCAGAGCCAAGGTATATATATCTGTGGAGCATCGATTGAACCTGTGAATGGATTGGATGTAGGGGATGAGGAAAATGGCACGTTCTAAATCTCTGGCCTAAATGGACAATGGAAATAATTACTGAGACAGAAACACTGGGGAGAAAGTTTCTTGGAGGAAAACCTAGAGTTCAGTTTGAGATTTAAGTTTGGTGTAGAGATGTCACATAGGCAATTGGGTACATGAGACTGGAACTCAGAGGTAAGGTTCTGCAAGAGATACTGATTTGGGAGTGTCAGCATGCACATGGTATAAGGCCACAAGAACTGAGGGAGAAGAAAAAGGGAAGAGGAGGGGGCTCTGGGCATGAAGCAGATGATGAATGAAATCACCTTCTTCTGTGTGCTGTTTCTTTCTTTCTTTAAATTTTATTTATTTTTAGAGAGAGGGGAAGGAAGGGAGAAAGAGAGAGAAACATCAGTTGGTTGCCTCTTGCAAGCATGCCTCACCTGGGGACCTGGCCAGCAACCCGGCTATGTGCCCCAACTGGGAATCAAACCAGGAACCTTTCATTTCTGTAGGCCTGTGCTCAATCCACTGCACCACACCAGCCAGGGACTTCTGCATGCTGCTGTGAGATTTTTTTGAAGAAACGACAGTTTACCCAGACACTGGCAGGCTTGCCACACACCTACGTCTTTTTCTTCACTTTATTGCTTTAAAATGCAGGTACCCTCACTCAATTATTGAAAGCAAGTGCTCTTGAATGGATTGATTTTATGGTACTTTTTGATTCACCCTCATTTCTATCACTTGAGCCACTTACTTTGTGAACTGCTCCATAAAACGGTCCCGATGGCCTTGCAGGGTGTCGGCTGGAAGACCTGGGAGAAATTAGAAAAAAGCAAGAGGGAAGAGGAGGAACAGAGGGAGGGTCAAGCTGCAGCAGACCACCCATCCTGGGGCTTGTGGCCAACCCTGCTGGCAGGCATCCCTGGCCTAGAGCTGCCACAGGACTGGTATCCAAGGAGGTTCAACAGGACCAGCAGGGAGTCTGGGGTGCTTACGCTCCAAGTCGTTCCTTCTGTTTGCCCAGGAGCATGAGCCATGCTGGGCACAGTGGACTGGAAGTTGTGTCCCTAACCATAGAAAAAGCAGTGGTGACGTGGCCAAGCAGCAGGCCCCAGAAGGAGCGGAATGAGGGTTCTTCCCAGAGGCGTATGCACTGGGTGCACTGGGTGGGGCTCAGTGCAGACATTAGTCTGGAAGGTATCCACAGAGCCTGCCTGAGAGGGTGCCTGTCAGGGACTAAGACTCAAGGATCTGGGTCCGGTGCCCACTTGGTCACTGCTAACTCTATGGAGTGGGACAAGCCGCAGCTGCTCAGGGCCAGCCTCCTCCTGAGCGGGTTCTCCACAGTCCTTCCACTTCACAGATCGTGTGGTTCCGTGTAGTTCAGTGATACAGCATAACTCAGAGATCCTTTTATTTATTTTTTCTTAAATTTAAACCTTATTGACGAGGTGATACATTCATTTGGCATAAAGAAGTAGTACACACATAAGGTATGATAATTCAAAATGGCAAAAGTATACAGCAGGTGCCAATGGCACTCTACCAGTGATCTGTCTCCCAAAAACCCTTAACCCCAGTCCAGTCATGAGAAAAGCATCGGACAGATACAAATTGAGGGACCTTCTAAGAGATATCTGACCAGAACTCCTCAAAACTGTCGAAGTCATCAAAAAAAAAAAAAAAAAAAAAAAAAAAAAGGAAAGTCTAAGAAACTGTCACAGTCAAAAAGAGACTAAGGAGAGAGACATGACTGAATGTAATGTGGTGTCCTAAAGGGGACCCTGGGGCAGAGAAAGGACATTAGGTAAAAACTATAAAAACTTAATGAAATATGGACTTTAGTTAATAATAATATATCAATCTTAGGTCATTAGTTGTTACAAATACATTAATCTAAGATGTTAACAACAGAGGAAACTGGGTTGGGGGTATATGGAACTGCCTGAACTACCTGCAAATTTCCTGCAGATGGAAACTATTCTAAAATAAAATTTTATTTTTAGAAAAGCACACACTGAACGGAGCGCCGCCCCTGCCCCTGCCCCTCCTCAGGCCACGCCGCCCCGCAGAGGCCAGCAGGGGGGCCTTGCGTATTGCTTTGCCTTTAAACCCAAATATTTAATTACCTGTTTCTTCTCATAACTCACCACTTTGTAAAAAAGTAGGGATGTGCTAATGGGCAATTGGGTTTCACTGCATCTTAGAGACAATTACAAGTTGATCAGTATTCAGAGCTTCTAAGTAACTGCCTGCCTTCTCTTAGAATTTAGTCCAACCTCTGCTCCTTTTAGACACGCCCACCTGCTCCAAAGCCCTTCTAACCCTTGAACATCGAAGTCCAACCTTCCTTCCACCGCACCCTCTTGGGTTCATCAGAGTGATGCTGACCCCTTTGTCCTAAGTATGCAGATCCATTCCTTGTCAGTGACCACAGATCCAAAGTGTCCCTTGTCCGAGACTTCTAAACCAAAACCATGATAGTCCCCATTCATGTCTCGATTTTTCTTGGTGTTCCATCACCCACACCTTCTGCACATGTATACCCTACACAGTGGCCACCTTGGAGTATGGCCCAGGCACTGCCCACATCAGATTCATCTGGGATATGGCTTAACAATGTAGACCCCGAGGGCAACAGACCTACCAATGCAGACCGTGCAGGGGCAGAACCCACACATGTTGTTTTAAACAAGAAGCTCATGAAAGTATAAGAACCTCTGCAAGGCCAGCAGTCTCCAAAATAGATTATGCAAAAGCATCCCTGGGGTCTGTGGCTAGGTTAGGGTCGGCACTCCATTTACTTGAGCAGCCGTTTTATATTTTATGTGTCTCTACAAAATTCCATTAGCACAAAGAGACTATGTTGCTGAACACTTTGGAAACAATGCCTGTGCTGCTGTGGGTCTAGGCCAGATCTGTCATCATTGTGTGGTTCACAGAATACGTGACATGTATGGATGGAGAGAAGGTAAAGCTAGGGGAGGAGGGAGAAGGCCATCCTGGGGCCCCAGTGTGGCAAGCCAGGTGCTTCACTGGGCACCATAAAGCTTGCATCCTACTCTTCTCAAGGTGGGTTTTTCAGGACAGAGGCTAAACGCTCAGGCCCTGGAGGAGCTGCATTTCTCCAGGGACAGCCTTGGGCCGAGATCCTCCTTCTAGCCAGAAGCTCAGAGAAAATCTGGCTGGTGTACTCACAGGAGTGGAGTTTGAAGAGAAGCTTGACAGTGTAATCATACAGGTGACTGCAGTCCAATATGACCTGGATCAGCGGGGCAAGGCGGCACTGCCCGGCAGTTGTCACTGACACGGAGCGGGACATGTCCAGGGAGTTGAACACTAGAAAATAAAAGGGGGAGGAAGGCAGTGGAGCTAGGAAGCTTTAGGTGATCTTCTCAGAGGGGCAGAAGGCGGGAGCTCACACACTGAGGACCTATTCTGTACATTCACTATCATATTTAATGCACTTAAACTTTACACCATGCCTACAGGATAATTAAAGGTAGCCTTGTCAGACAGGTGAGGAAACTGATAGTAAGTGACTTGACGGTAGCCACAAAATCAAGAACTGGTTTTGCTGAGGTGGTGAGGTAAAACATAGTGCCTGTGTAGCCGGCAATGGCTACACCAGAAGCCTGTGCTCCCATAAACCCAGGTGCTCCATGCATCATGAGCAGGTGAACTCTGCTCTTCTCTGTGCACACAGCCCTGTGGAAGCTGGGAAAGAGAGATTTACCCACAGCCTGGGGGGAGCACCTAGATGCGGAGAACCCCTCCTAGAGGAGCTTGGTGGCCTCTTGCCCCAGGCTAATCAGAAAGACTGAACAATCACTTTTCACAGTCTCTGATTTAGTGGAAATGGGGAAATGAGCTCTTGATGCTCCAGTGTATGGGGCATTAGAATTTCAGGACTGGGCCCTGGCTGGTGTGGTTCAGTGGATTGAGCACTGGCCTGAGAATCAAAGGGTCGCTGGTTTGATTCCCAGTCAGGGCACATGCCTGGGTTGTGGACCAGGTCCCCAGTGGGGGGCACTTAAGAAGCAACCACACATTGATGTTTCTCTCCCTCTCTAAAAATAAATAAATAAAATCCTAAAAAATAAGTAAATAAATAAAAATTTAAAAGCATGTTTAAAAAATATTTCAGGATTGGAAGGGGCTGTAGAGATGGCCAATCCAGCCCTTCCTCTCCTATACGAACACATCTGAAGGTAACCCCAAAGCTGAGAAGGACCCAATCTGGTGGTGGCAACAGTTAACATGTGGGGAAAATATCAAACACCGATCAGAACACGAGGAAGGGAATAAGTCAGCCTTGGATTTCTGGTGGCTTGCCACAGGTTGTTGGGACAGCTAAAGGGGGTGGGGGGATGTGCAAAAGCCCTGGGTGGATAGTTGGAGAGCCTGCTAGAACCAAGTTCAGGGGCTGATGGAGGTCCTTGGAGCAGGTCAACACCAGGATTGCCCTCCATTCTCCCAAGCTCCAGAGAGCACGTTTCTCCTGAGATCCTTCCCTATTAACCCCCTGCACCTTCTCCTAAGCCAAGCCACTAGAAGCTGGCAGTGGGCCCTCAGTGCACACCAGTGGCCGGGGCCGATTTCCTGCCTGTGTGGCTGCCCAGCACCTCCAGAACTCCACACGTGGTCGGCAACGAAAGGCATTCCCCACAGACATTCCCGGAGGAAAACCCAGAGCTGCTGCGCTCGGCCTTCTCTGCCTGAACTAATCCCTGTTAACCAGCTCAGTCTGGCAGCTGAAAAAAAGTCCCCAACGGTTCTAATTAAAAGTCAGCTTTTCTTGACACAAATTAAAATCAGCTGTCACTGCAAGGCGGCCATCCCCAAGTCTACCGGCTTCCGAAGGCTCCACTCTGGCAGGGAATCGCAGACGGCTCCGTCTCCGGGCCTGCCGCTGCTTTCCAGGAACCCGCTGGCGCCCAGCGACAGCTAGAGCGGCGTGGCCGTGGGTGCGTCACTCAACCTCTCTGAGCCTCCAGATGCTTTTCTAGAAAATGCAGGTGGTTCTAATAGCACATCGCATAAGGGCCTCATAATAACTAAATGAAAATGTTGTGTGAAGTGTGTAGCGCTGTTCAGTGGTTTTTAGCTTTGGCTTTGAAATGGATTAGAGTCATCTGGGGATATTTAGAAACTATTAATGCCTGCCTGCAACTCTCCCATACTCCCATTCTATTTCATTGGTTTGGGGTAGGACTGGGGCGTCAGTAGGTTTCAAAAGACTCCCAAGTGATTCTACTATGCAGCCAGTTAAAAGCTGTATCTTCTACCTCAGTGGTGGTCAAACTTCAGCAAGCACCAGAATGACCAGGCAGCACTGTCCAGTTGAAGCCTTTGATGACGGAAGTGTTCCACATGTGCTGCCCAATATGCTGGCCGCGTGTGGCTACCAAGTGCCTGATACATGGTGAGTGCTACTGAGGACTTGACTTTCTTTGTGTTATTTAATTGTAATTAATTAAAATAGTCACATATGGCTGGCGGCTGCCATAATGGATAGTACAGACCTGGGGGCCTTGTTAAAACACTGATTGGTGGGCTTCAGCCCCAGATTCACTGTGTCTGGGGTGGGACCTGAGCATACGCTTTTCTAACAATTTTAGGTGATGCTGACGCTACTGGTCCAGGAATCACAGAACTGTGGCATAAATGTTAACTGTTATTGGTCCATTTCTTACAGCTGGAAATCAGTGGCACGCTTCTGAGGGTACAGGCCAGAACCTTGCAAGGCCACAGGCCAGGCCTGAGAAGCTGGAGAGACTTCTTCCAACACCAGCCCTCATGACTTTTGCGTCACACAGTAGGTGAGTGGGGACAGGAAGGTAGCAGGGGAGGCATGTAGAAGAGGGCTCTTGATTCCAAAACAGGGCTCTTTGAGGAATGAGAAAGTCGACTCAGGGAGCTCTTGTCTAGAAAACTCTAAGTAGCTAATTCACCCAGATAACCCCAGAGCGTCCAGCTGGATGCTGACACCATTTTGTGAACTCCGTTCGCCTGCTGTTTCTGCACTGCTGTTCCACCGCTGAGCGCTGGCTATAGACCAGGCTCTGGGCTAGAACAGAGACGAGCAGGGCACGGTTCCTGGTTCTGAGGAGGAGCTCAGGATCTAGTGGTAATAATACAAGTGAACAATGGAGATAAAAACAGAGCCAGGTATCATGGGAGGTGGGAGCGAGCTGGCCACGTGGGGCGGGGCACTTGCCTGCACTACATACCCATTCTCCCAGCCTCCTCACATCCTGGCAGGTGGAATCACACCTTTGCTTACTCTTATTCCAACAATCTGTCAGGGGGTGGAAGGGATATCCCCAAAGGTTGAAACATTTGCCTTATTTTCCCCAACCACTGCCGCAATGGCAGGCAGACTCTGAAAAGAAGGCCAGAGCTGCAGGAAGAGAGCTTGGGTCAGCTGAGTGGGAACTTCTAGACTGATTCTCCCAAGGATGACAAATCCTAGAACATTACTCATACCTGCATTCAGATTAAGCACATTCCAAAGCCGAATGTCAATGAATTCTGACTTATACCCATGGGCCTTTCCTGACCAAAGGTAAATAACTGAAAGTTGGCAACAACAATGTGTAGTTGTTTGTTTACTTTTATGCAATTAAAAACAAAACAAAAAAATGCCTCTGCACCATTTCTCCTACCTTGCTGGCAATGCCTTAGAGGGGGGACTGGATTTTTTGTTTCATTTTGATTTCTCTATTGACTTTTGTAGAAGACCCTGCTCAAATAGGTTGCTAGTAGGCAACATACTCATTCTCCCACACTATAGTTTCCAACTGTTTCTGGTGTTCTTTGACCACATCCCACACTGAACTGACTGGTCAAAGTATCACGGATACTTTGCCACCCTGTCATAGGTCTGGTACAGCTGGAATTAACTGGCCAGTTGTAAGTATTTGCTTTACAGATGAACACGCTGAGAAAAGTTGCAATTTATGGTGAGAGAGTTTCTGTCTTTCAAGAGAGAACCAAAGCCCCAGCCATGGGCCCTACGTGCCCAAATGCCAAGGTCGCCAAGCTTGCGCACAATTACTTGTGGTTTGGAACGTGCTTTCAGAGTTGGACACTTGTCATAGAACATCCTGAATCTTAGAACACTGACTCGTCCGCTCTCCAAGGCCAGAAGGGGAAGCCACGCTGGAAAGTGTGGGGAAGAGAGCACAGGAGGCAAGGGAAGCAGCTGCTTCCTTCCCAAGGAAAGAAGAGTTGGGGGCTGACTTTCTTCTCAGGAAGTGTTAGGGGCTGACAGCCTAGAAGCACTAGAACCCTCAGCAGGAGGGAGCCAGGAAGTGCTCCCCTACCAGGGAATTAGGACTTCTCATGTGGACTTGAGTAACAATTCAACTCTACCAGCTTCCTCCCTGGCTACTGACCAAACAGCAGACAGCAGCTCTTCTTGCAGAAATTCAGCCCAAGTGCCCCGCTGGCTGAGTAGCAGACAGGGCTGGGCCGAAGGACCACACAGTGTTGGGGCCACAGTCCATGGGCTGTCAAAGAGGTCAGACCTGTCTCTGGGCTCTTGGCCTTCAGCGGGGAAGCCAGTGGGCTGGGGAGTGTGGTCTTCCAGCTCAGACATGAAATCCCAACTCTGAAAATGCCCAAGAGCGTCAGCCCCTCTCTTCATGAGAGATGGAGAGCCCATAGTCTCCCCTTTCCTGGCGCTGTGCTGTGCAGCTTGTAGGGAGAGGTAGACTAACCCAGCTGGTCCAAGCAGAAAACACGGCTGGGAATTAGGCAATTTCCGTGACAGCCTGGGCCAGATGGGAGGGAGGACTCACCAGTTTGGAAGAGGTTCAGTTCACACTCCAGGTAGTCGAACATCTCCACTGTTAGCTGAAAACTGAACCCAAGAGGAAAGAGAACTTATACTCCACAGCCTAAGACCAGCGCTTCCCCTGTCCCTTCCCCCACACTCTGTGCTGCTGCTTCCGCCCCCTGTGTGTGCGCACACACAAACACCAGCTACAATTCTTAGATGCCAGCTGAGTAGGTGTTAAGGCCGTCTGAAGATCAGGTAGGGTGAAATCAACAGTCACAGTGGCAGAGGGAGGGGACAGGTACCACGCTGGGTAGGGCGGGAGGAGCGGAGCAGACGGTAGGGCCTGGAGTGTGAGACAGCCTGGCAGCGCTCCGGATGAGGTGCCAGCAGTAGGCGGCCCCGAGGCCAAGCCACCCAGGGGCTTTATTCCCCAGCCCCTACCATCAGGCCTTATGTGACCCTAACAGAAAGTAAGACATTCTGCAAAAGCCTTCTTCTCCACTGGCTCCAGAGCACGAGGACAGCCACTTACAAGTTGTTAACATCACTCTCTCCAGCCTCATCCAGCTGCCGGTCACTCATCTGCAGGTTGCCTGGAAACCTGGGATTCTGGAAGGGAAGCAGAGAAAGGAAGTCAGAAGAGGGCACCCCAAAAGCTCTCTATAGAGTCCAACTAAGCAACATGAAACAAGCTGCCTACATTGAGGGCAGGCAGCAGCCGGCCTGATGATTCTGCTTGTGTGGCACATATGCGTACGATTCATGTCTACACTCTTCCCAGGTAACGGTGTTAGTGCACACAGCCTCACACACAAACACAGACCCCTTGTCTGTGGCAAAGAACATCCACTGCCCATCATCGGAGGCAAGCCTCCATCCTATCCCCGAGAGCCAGAAGAAAGTCCCCCCTAGCGATCTGTGTCCCGGGACACTCTCCTGTGGTGCAACAAGGCCAAGTCCGAGAACGGTCGGCCCCCAACCATCTATAAGACACAGGCGGTGCAGCATCTGTTTTTCCTGGCACCTCCTGAATCCCAGCCAGGCTTCCCACTGTCCTTTGGCCATTTCCCAGAGCTGCTGTTGTGGGTTCAGGGAAGGCAAACCCACTCTCATATTAGCTTCAGCAAAACATAATTAGTCAAATAAACTTAAAGGTAGGAAAATATTACACCATGTACCCCCGAAGTCAGGAGATGTTATTTTGTATCATTGATCATTATCCGGTACCTGTACCATTATCTCCTCCTCAGTGTGGTTTGTCTGGAGTGGATAGAACACAAGGCCAAGGGAAAGGTGGAGGTGGGCGCAGGGAGACGGATGGCCAGTCCCCAAGGGAGGGGGGTGCTGAATTCCACTGTGAATACTTTAGGCTCCGAGACAGGAGCCCTCCACCCCGGCACCTCACTCTGGCTGCAGCACCTGCCCTCGGCCCTTGCAGTCCTCCCGGCCCTCAGACCTGCCGCCAGCTCCTCTGCCTCAGACACTGTCAGTTCCTTCATAGCTCCCTTCTCGCTGCACTTACTGTCTCACCTAGTCTGAAAATTATGGTGACCTGGCCCCTTCTCCCTGATCCTTGCCTTCCTTACTGCCTGTCCTTCCACCTGTTAAACCTGGTGAGTCTAGATTTTTGTCATGTGTTCTGTGCCTAGGACAGGCTGACAAATGTCCCTGAAGGACTCACAGCTGGAAGCACTATTAGAACATGCCCTGTTAACAGTCCCTGCTACTGCCTGGACGGTTCCCCTTTCCATCAATTAACTGCCCAGCTTTCAAACCTGGTGCCCAGCCTGAGCCACTGCCCCAGCACGTGCCTTCCTTCTTGCATTGTGGTAACTCCCTCAGCTTCCTGCCTCCCACTCCCTTCCCTGCTTTCACTGTACTCAGCAATGCTTCCATTCCTCCAGCTTCAACAGAGGACGGCTGCTTCTTTCCTGACTCTGTCTATTTGAGCCGATCTAGGTTCTGGTTCATTCTCTCACTCATCCAACAAATCCTGATGGAGCACCTGTTCCAGGCTAGATGCTGGGCCAGACACAGGACACAAGGAGACACACACCTGTCCTCTGTCTTCTTGGAGCCCACAGGCCAGAGTTCCCAGGGGCCCACTCTCTCGCCCTATGCCCCTGTCCCCCTTCCTGTTGCCCATGTCTTCCTTATGGTCCCAATATCTCCTTCTAGCTGTTGCCCTCTCTCTTCTCTCTTTCTTTCTAGTCTTCAGGAAGTTCCATTCTTTGTCCCACAAATTAAGTGTCCTCCTACTTGGCTCTCACCACCTTTCACACTCCGTACTCCGTAACTGGGACAGTCTCACCCACCCACTCAGCCCCCTGTTGCTCTCCACTCTGCCCGCTTCGTGAACCTCCATCGACTGCCAGTTCCACACAAACACCAAAGCGTCCTGGGCCTCATGCCCTGTGTCTCCAGCTGATTCCTCTGCCTAGAATGCAGGCCCCACCCTTCTTCACCCGCCCCTCCCCTCTACTGGCTGTGCAGCAGACAGGTCTGGGGGAGGGGCAAGTGTATTCCCCAGAAGGCAGGGAGGGCTGTGAACTGTGGGGCCTGGGGGCCGACTGTGGCAGACTCTATTTTCCAGAGGTTGCTGCCATAATGTATCCCATTCAAAACACTCTCTTTACAATGAGATTTTGACATTCCTTCCTCGAGTGGTGTGATCTCTGTCCCCTCTCTTTGAATCTAGGGACCTCTGTGACTACCTCAGCCAATACAGGGCAGTGGAAGGAATGCCTGTGACTTCTGAAGCAAGACCTTAAGGATGCCACACGCTTCTCCCTTGTCCCCTTGGGGAACTCCCCCAGGCTGTGCGGAAGCCCTGACTGGGCCTGAGCCTCCACGAAGAGAGGGCTGGCAGGCCAGTCCCCCACTGCTGCAGCTCCAGCCAGATTCTGACTGCAACCGCATGAGCCCTTTGGCCAGAACTGCCCCGCCAAGCCCTTCTAGAATTCCTGGCCAACAGAAAGGGTGAGAGATAATAAAGGTCTGTTGTTGCGAGGCACTAAGTTTTGGGGTGATGTGTTGTGCAGCATAGATAACTGTAACACCGTAAGATTGAGCTCAGGTGCGCACTGCCTCTGGGGAACCCACCTGGTTGAATCTGGGCTAGTTGTCCTCTTGTGCTTTTGTACCACCTTCTGCACTTCTCTCAGTTCTCGTCTTTACTGCGGTTTATCACCTCTCCCTTTACCACTTCTCTCCCAACGCAACTAGGACTCCCAGAGGCAGGGGCAAAGTCTATTCACCTTTCTCTCTTCAGGGCCTACTAGTTCTGGCCCTTGGCACGCAATCAATGAGATGTGGGGCGAGGGGATGGGGGTGGGGTTGGTTAATGGTGGCCGCTGAGCAGCAGGGGCTGTAGGTTCAAATCTCCACCATACCATGGAAAAGCTACGTGACACAGGTAAGGGGTTCAACCACTCTGTGAGTTTCATTTCTCTAGGATGTAATATTGTGAGGATTAGTCATGTATAGAAAAGGTTTAATAGACTAGAATGGTTTCAATAAATCAAAGCTGCCCCTTAAGTTCATAAAAGATAATGGAGATAAAAGACACTAAATAGGGCTGGTGTGGCTGAGTTGGTTGAGTGTCGCCCTGCAAAGCAAAACGTTGCCAGTTCAATTCCCAGGTACGTTCCTGGCTTGAGGGCCTGGACCCCAATCAAGGTACATGCGAGACACAACTGACTGATGTTTCTCTCACATGTGGTGTTTGTGAGAGAAACATCAGTCCTTCCTGGGGAGTTCCCCAAGGGGACAAGGGAAAGGGGTGTGGCATCCTTAAGGTCTTGCTTCAGAAGTCACAGGCATTCCTTCCACTGCCCTGTATTGGCTGAGGTAGTCACAGAGGTCCCTAGATTCAAAGAGAGGGGACAGAGATCACACCACTCGAGGAAGGAATGACAAAATCACATTGTAAAGAGAGTGTTTTGAATGGGATACATTATGGCAGCAACCTCTGGAAAATAGAGTCTGCCACAGTCGGCCCCCAGGCCCCACAGTTCACAGCCCTCCCTGCTTCCCCTCTAATAAGTAAATCTTTTAAAAAAGATACTAAATTATGTTACTTTCCCTTAAATCTTCTTCCTTCTCCATTTTCTCCTGCCAGCTCCCTAATTCAGGCGGTTTTCTCTCCCCCGGGTGCCATCCTTCCCCACCACCTGTGTAGGCCACACCCATCCTTCAAGGCCACCACGAGCCTCGCGTCCTTCGTCTTGTCCTTTTGAACACCACGGCCCTGGGCCCTGAATCATTTCAGAACGTCTCCGGCCCTTCTCCGCGGGCACAGGCAGAGGCGCGCCTAACTGCTTTGCACTACGCAGGCTGCTTTAAGCGTGTAAGCCTGCTCTCCCCAACGAATCTGTGAATGCCTACAGAGCAGACCCTTTTTACATATTCTTATATGCTACTTGGTACCAACCACACAGGTTTACATGCATTAGGTACATAAGAAATACTGACTAAAGTCATATACTGATGAAAAGAAGGCTCTGCATGGAAATTCACTATATAAATGGAAGGAACTGTTTTTATTAATAGTGAAGTCAGTGATTCTAAAACATTTCATAGGGCAAGCTACTGGATAGGGTTCCTCCTTCTCCATGCAAAACGGGGGAACAAAAGGTACAGAAGACATGGGCCACATCCCAGGGCCTGACCACGGTTGCCCTATAAAATGCTCCCTCTCACACAGCTGGGAGGTGGAATAAATAATCCCTGAGAAGCCAGGCTCTCTTACTACCTGAAAGACCTGACAAGTAAGGCCAGCGAGGTGCTGAGGAGGCCGGGGCTGGGGGGTGGGGTGGGGACGACGGTAGAGAGCGGAATTGTTAGCAAAGACTCACTTTGGTGTGGTACTCTATCTTCGTTCTCAGCAGTTTGAGGTAGATGCTGCAAAGCTGTCCATACCCCTCACTCAGGTGGCCCTTCCAGGAAGAGGAAAGAAAGTAGGGTGTCAACACTACACATTTGAGTTGAAAGACCTAAAGCCGGAACTTCATTTTTAAAAACATTTTTTTTCTGATTATGAAAATAATAAATGTCCATTGTTGACAATTTGGAAAATATAGACAGTTACTTATATAAACAAATCACCCTTAATCTAAAGACTCTAGATATAATCATGGCTAACACTCTGGGGTACAAAATGGTATTTATTTTCATTTTATCAATTTAAATAAACTTTCTTTTTAGAGCAATTTTATCCTCATGGCAAATTAAACAGAAAGTATAGAAATTTCCTCTCTCTTCCTTGCACATATAAAACCTCCCCCAACTATCAACATCGGATCCCAGAGTAGGGCATTTGTTATCACTGAGGAACTTACACAGACGCATCATTATCATCCAAAATAAATCTGACATTAAAGTTCACTCTTGGTATTGTGTATCCTATGGGTTTTGACAAATGTATATGGACATATATTAACATTATAATATCACATGGAGTAGTTTTCCTGCCCTAAAAATCCTTTGTACTCCACCTTTACGTTAAAATATAAAATGGAATCAACTTGCTTTTTTTTCTTAATGCAATATTTTCTATTTCCTTAAATTTCCTTTTGTATCACTATTTTTAGTGACAGACCACACAGTACATTGTAAGTATGTACCATAATTTATCGAACCAACTCCCTACTGTTCATTCGTACAGTTTAATCTTATGTACACACATGAGGACTTTCTTGGATAAATTCCGAACAAGGGCTTCTTATTTAAGAATTCTAAGTCTCCTACTCTTAGTAATCACAGCCTGGCTATGTGCTATTTCTTTTCCTCTGTCTCCCTAAGCACAGGAGAAGAAACACCTCCTCCAGTTGGACTCCACGGGACTGAGAGCATCTGTAGTATTATACGTGGTTGGGGGCGGGCTGCGGTGTGAAATGTCATCAATCCTTCAGGTGAACAGCATTCCCTCGGGGCCTGCCTAGGCACCGTGTGCTGGGTGCTGGGCAGGAAGCTAGGATTAGCAAAGTAATGATGGGAACTCCTAGTTACATACAAAAGAGAAGGTATATGGGACACCACCCTTCAGTTGAATAGTTGTGGCTCCCACATGAGAGTTTACTTTTGTTTTTTTTTAATTGCATCTATATCCTAACGAGATCCTGTTGAAACATGCCTCAAACAGCACCAAAGGGAGTTGAGCAATCAGAGGTTAAAAATACCAAATGCCAGAGACGAGTGTTTCATAATGTATTAATTTTCTATGAAAATTCATAATCATATTGATTTTTACATTATACTTGTTTATTAGAGACAAATTGGAAAGTACTGGAAAGCAAAAAAAAAGAAGCTAAGCTATTCTCACCATCAGAGACAACTATCCTTTACATGAAAATGCACAGGATCAAAAAGTAAAAGATGAACGGATCATTGACTGAAGTGTAAAACAGAAAACTATAAAGCTTCTTAAAAATAACACAGGAGAAAACCTAGATAACCTTTGAGTATGGTGATGCCATTTAATTAATTATTTATTAAAGTATATTTTATTGATTATTCTGTTACAGTTGTGCCAGTTTTTTTCTCCCCCTTTTTCCTCTCCACCCTCCAATCACCCTCCAATCAGCATTTCCCCCCACTTAGCTCATGTCCCTATACGTGTACATAGAAGTTCTTTGGCTTCTCCATTTCCTATACTATTCTTAACCTCCCCCTGTCTATTTTGTACCTACCATTTATGCTTCTTATTCCCCGTACCTTCTCCCTCCATTCTTCCCCCCACCACTGATAACCCTCCATGTGATCTCCATTTCTGTTATTCTGTTCCTGTTCTAGTTGTTTGCTTACTTTTTGTTTCTTAGGTTCAGCTGTTGATAGTTCTGAGTTTGTTGTCATTTTACTATTCATAGTTTTGATCTTCTTTTTCTTAGATAAGTCCCTTTAACATTTCATATAATAAGGGCTTAGTGATGATGAACTCTGTTAACTTTACCTTATCTGGGAGGCACTTTATCTGCCCTTCCATTCTAAATGACAGCTTTGCTTGCTTTGAAGAGGTTGGAAGAGGTTGAGCTCACACTCCAGGTAATCGAATATCTTGCACTGTTAGCTGAAAACTAACTGGACAGGGTAATCTTGGATGTAGGTCCTTGCCTTTCATGACTTTGTATACTTCTTTCCAGCCCCTTCTTGTCCGTAGGATTTCGAGAAACCAGCTGATAGCCTTATGGGAACTCCTTTGTAGGTAACTCTCTGCTTTTCTATTGCACCTTCTAAGATTCTCTCCCTATCTTTAATCTTGGGTAACTTAATTATGATGTGCCTTGGTGGGTGCTTCCTTGGGTCCAAGTTCTTTGGGACTCTCTGAGCTTCCTGGTTCTCCTGGAAGTCTATTTCCTTTGCCAGATTGGGGAAGTTCTCCTTCATTGTTTTTCAGATAAGTTTTCAATTTCTTGCTCTTCCTCTTCTCCTTCTGTCACCCCTATGATTTGGATGTTAGAATGTTTAAAGTTGTCCCAGAGCTTTCTAAGCCTCTCCTCATTTTTTCGAATTCTTATTTCTTCATTCTGTTCCAGTTGAATATTTATTTCTTCCTTCTGCTCCAGATCATTGATTTGAGTTCCTGTTTCCTTCCCTTCACTCTTGGTTCCCTGTATATTTTTCTTTATTTTACTCTGAATAGCCTTTACTTCTTCCTCTATTTTGTGGCCATACTCATTTCTGTGAGCATCCTGATTACTGGTGTTTTGAACTCTGCATCTGACAGGTTGGCAATCTCCTTGTCACTTGATTCTTTTACTGGAGTTTTGATCTGTTCTTTCATTTGGGCTATAATTCTTTGTCTTGGAGCACCTGTTATGTTGTAAGGGGCGGAGCCTTTAGTATTCGCCAGGGCAGAGCAACCCATTTGGCTGTGTTGTGGTGCTATATGTGGGAAAGGGATCAGAGAGAGAACAATGCTGCTCACTGGCTTTTGCCCCACTTTCAGTCACTTCCCCCACTACCTACAAGCAAATTGGGCCCTTCGAGTGCTGATTTTCCGGTGGGTGGGTTTGTGTACGTTCTAGGACCCTGTGGGCCCCTCCAAACAACTCTCCCGTGAGGCTGGTAGTTGCTCCTGCTGTTACAACCCCCCACAGGTTATTAGAACCAGAGGTTTTGAGGCTTTCTTTTCCCGCACTGGAACCCTGGGTTGCGCAGTCTATCTCGCTTCCCAGTTGTTTCCCATGGTTTATCCCCACACAAATGTGGGACTAAATAAAAGCCCGGTCCACCAGCTGCATCCTTGCCGCGCATCCTGTCTGCCCTGGCTGCCTGTCTCCGCCCCTCCTACTGGTCTGGATGAATGTTTCTTCTTTAACTCCTTGGTTGTTAGACTTCCATACAGTTTGATTTTCTGGCAGTTCTGGTTATTTTTTGTTTTAAAATTGGTTGTTGTCCTTCTTCTGGATGTGCAAGTAGGCAAAGTGTATCTACCTAAACCTCCATCTTGGCCAGAAGTTGGTGATGATTTCTTAGAGCACCAAACACATGATCCACTAGAAAAGTAACTGATAAGCTGGACTTCATTAAAATTAAAAACTTTTGCTCTGCAAAGGACAGCATCAAGAGTATAAGTAGATAAGCCATAAACTAGGGGGAAATGTTCGCAAAAGGTACACCTGATAAAGGGCTACCATCCAAAATACACAAAAAACCCTTAGAGCTCAATAATAAGAAAACAAACAACCCAATTTAAAAATGGGCCAAAAATAAGATGGCAAATAAGCATAAAAATAAGCTCCATATCATAAGTCACCAGGGAAATGCAAATCAAAAAAATTAGACACCACTACACACCTGTTAGAATGGCCAAAATCCAGAACACTGGGAACACCAAAGGCTGGTAAGTACAGGAAGCAAAAGGAACTCTCATTCATTGCTGGTGGGGATGCAAAGTGGTATAGCCACTTTGGAAGACAATTTGGCAGTTTCTAGCAGAACTAAGCATACGCTTACCATATGATTCAGCAATGGTGCTCCTTGATTTTTACCCAAAGGAGTAGAAAACTTATTTCTGCTCAAAAATCTACACATGGATGGTTATTGCAGCTTTATTCATCTATGCCCCAAATTGGAAGCAACCAAGATGCCCTTCAGTAGGGGAATAGAGAAATCAATTGTGGTACATCCTGAAAATGGAGTATTATTGAGTGTTAAAAAGAAATGAACTATCAAGTCATGAAAAGACATGGAGGAAACTGAAGTGTTTATTATCAAGTGAAAAAAGCCAATCTGAAAAGGCTACCTTCTTTAGATTCCAACTATATGACATTCTAGGAAAGGCAAAGCCTTACACAATAAAAAAGATCAGTGGTTGCCAGGGGTTGCGGGCAGAGGGTGGGATGGGATAAACGGGGGTTGTACAGAAGATTTTTTAAGTCAGTAAAAACACTCTGGATGACTCTGCAATCATGGATGTCATTATACCTTTCCCCAAGCCCATAGAATATACAACACCATGAAATGTAATATAAACTATAAATTTTGGGTGATTATGATGTATTGATATAAGTTCATTGATTGTGACAAATGTATCACTCTGGTGCGGGATTTTGACACAGGGGAGGGCTGTGTCTGTTGGAGTGGGAAGGGCTATATGGGAAATCTCTGTATAGTCCAGTCATTTTTGCTGTGAACCGAAAACTGCTGTAAAAAAAAAAAAAGTCTTAATTAAAAAAAATAAACAGTAGAGTAAAAGAGGTTTCTAACCTCAGAAATTCTTAGGCAAATGGGAGAGATAGGCTACACAGGAGAAAAGACCTAAAGGAATTCTATTTTGGATAACAAGGCAGGCTAGCTGCCTGGGTTGACCTTCCCACTGAAAACAGGCAATACTGGGAAAACATTTTTAAAAGAGTTTTGAAGGCATTAATGAACTAACAAGAGAGCAAGGAATCCTCAGGCCAGGGACTGAGTAAACACAGATTCTCGCAGAGTAAATGGAACACTGGGGTAATGGTGTTGGGGGGAAAGGGGACTTTGCCAGACCAAGTGAACCTGAGCTTTGATTTTCTGGGCCTCAAGGGCCAGGTGGTAAACAGGAGGTAGGGCTCTGGTCTGCCGAAGTTGAAGAGTCCAGTAGAGGAGCCAAAAGGCTGCCTCCTTGGTTCAGGGTAACTAAGGGTAAACCAGGAATAGCACACATCTGTGCTCCTACACTGAAGGAGTCCTCCCTGAGGACGACAAAGAAAATCTGCTGCCTCAGACCACTGTTGTGATCAGAGGGGGGAAAAATACGGCTGCTGAGAATTGGACCCATGAGCTAGTTCTCAAGGGGCTCTGCCTAAAATTCAAAAAACCTTAAGCTGAGGATTTAGAGTGATCCCTACCGAAGCAAAGGGATCCGTAATGGATCTCTGGAGGAACCTGCCTTCATTACAGACTCCAAAAAATTCCCACGAAAAAAATTTTAAGGGAAATGAGCAGCTCACAGTAAGAAATAACTAAGCACATAAAGAAACTACATAGCATGAGCAAAACTGGCCAAAAACAACAGATGCAAGAAACAGATCTCTTAAGGGCTTTAGATAATGGAAGCATAAAAAAATTATATATGAAACCATTATGTGTAGTATGTCTAAATAAATAAGAGACCAGTCAAAATACATGCTAAACACAAGAGATTAAAAAGAATGCCACTCAGATTAGAGCCAGTTGAAGAGGTAACAAGTAAACTGAAAGTGAGATCTAATAAAATTAATACAGAAGGAAGTAGAGCAACAAAAGGGTAGAAGAAATGAAATAGCAGTTTAAAGTGAGAGGGGGGATAAAGTGAGAAAGTCTAACATACTTCTAACTAAAGAGTCAGAGGAGAAGACGGAATGGAAGAGCAAAGACAATATTTGAAGAGACAATGAGAATTTTTCATAGGTAATGAAAGATACTAACCCACAGATTTAAGAAGTCCAAAGAGTCCCACCTAGACATGCACTAAGATCTTTAAAATGGCCAGATAAAAAAGACAGATTAGCTTCAAAGGGGTAACGGTGAGCCTGACAGCAGACTTCATGAAAATAAATCTGGAAGTCAGTGGAAAGATAGCTTGAATAATATCTTCCATGTGATGAGAGAAAATAACTGTCATACCAAGATTCTAAACCCAGAGAAAATATATTCCAAGAATGAGAGTGAAATAAAGACATTCTCAAAGAAGTAAAAATGGTTTTTGGCCACTAAAAGACTTTCACTAAAGGAAATAATTCAGGCAGAAAGGAAGTGATCTCAGGTGGTGGATATGAGATATAAGAAGAAATGAAAAACACAGAATAAAAGAATTAAAATGAAATATTGGGTTGGCCAAAGAGTTCATTTAATTTTTTCCATATGATGGCTCTAGTAGCGCTTAGTTGTCTTGAATTTCATTCAAAACAATTTTGTTAGGTTGTATTGTGACAGCTGTCTATCAGTGTGCATTAAAAAAAAACAAAACACTTATCAAAACTGCTGAATTTTTGTGCAGCCATTTTAACATTGAAGAGGGAAGAAACTATGCAACATTTTGGGCATATTATTCTTTATTATTTCAAGAAAGGTAAAAACACAACTGAAATGCAAGAAAAGATTTGTGCAATGTATGGAGAAGGTGCTGTGACTGACTGAACATGTCAAAAGTGGTTTGCAAAGTTTCTTGGTACTATTGATACTTTGGCCAAATAATTGTTTGCTGCAGGGCTGTCTTATGCATTGGAAGATGTTTAGCAGCCCCCCTGGCCTCTAACCACTAGAAACCAATAGCAAGAGATAGCTGACATACTTAAAATACCCAAATCAATAAATTTATTGGTGAAAATGAAAAATGTGTTTTTTATTTTATGGAAAAAACGATACAGACTTTTTGGCCAACCCAGTATCTTACAGCATTTAAAAAGAAACAAATAACCAAAATTAAAATACATGACAATAACATATAAGTTGAGGAGTAAATGGAGTTAAAATATTCTAAGGTCATTGTGTCATACAGGAAACAGATAAAGATATGAATTTTAGACCTTGATAAACTAAACATGCATTTTGTAATTACTAGATAACATCCCAAAAAATAAAATATAAAAGCAGAGGGTTTTTTACCCTCCCAACCAGCAATTACAGAAAAATGGAATGAGAAAAAAAATAGTCAATCCAATAGAGGACAAAGTGAGGGAAACAGAAAAAGATGGAACAAAGAGCACAAAATAAGATGGAGATATAAATCTAAACATATCACGCATTACAGTGAATGTAAATTCAGCAAATGCACATTTAAAAGACAAAGACTGCCATCTTTAATAAATCAACAAAATCCAACTAATTGCTGTTTACAAGTGTTATTTTTAAGACATACGAATGTAGAAAAGTCAAAAATAAAAGGATGGAAAAAGACATACCAGGCAAATTGTAACAAAAAGGAAAAAGACCTAAGCTCTACATGTTTAGGGATATAACAGAAAGCTCTCTAGTATCCCGCTGGAAGGTTTGGGGACAACTCTCAGCGTTGTTCAGTTGAACTGGCCTTGTGCCTCGGAAAAGCCGCTTCCCTCTCTGGGCCTCACCTGTAATGGGTAGCCTGGACCACATAACTGCGAACATTGTGTGAGTGCACAGATACAGGTGAGACTTTGAAGGCAGGAGCTAACGTAGTAGTTCTCACCCAGTGAGGGCAAAGGGACACATCAGAATCAACCTGGGAGATTTCTTCAAAATGCAGATCACCTCTCGTCCATACATACACCCACTGGATATGATTCTAGAGGAATTCTGGTGTGTGTGCATAAAAACACTCTTTTCAATCGATTCTGATGCTGTCACCGACCCCCTCCCTCATCCTAAGGCACTGAATCCCTAGACAGAAAAGGCACTGGCATTAAGAAGTGGGAATGCTAGTTCTCAATGTACTGTGACCCCAATAGGACCAGTTAAAAAAAAGAGGTGGGAACTGTGGCAGTGTCACTGCTGGGGGAACCCCAATGCCTGGAGGACACTGTGACCTAAGGTTCCATTGGTAGAAGCAGCTCCCAGGCTCTTGAACTTCCCTGCGGCTTCCTGGAACCCCAGGTAAGACTGTGGGTATCATGGTACTATTGGGGGGCACCCCTGAGCCCTCCCTGATGCTGAGAGAAATCCTAAACGAGTTGAAAGAGATGAATTTGTTCCATTCCACAGTCCCTGTTCTGTGGCCTCTGGGGAAGAACAGGAGGCACAAGTAGCCCTTGTGCAAAGCTCCAAACTCACCCACATCCTGCTCATGTCGCCCAGCTCATTTTTGTATCTCAGAGAGTCCTTCAGGACCTGGGGAGGGAGGAGAACCGCCGATGACAAGGGAGGACACAGATGATGGTAAAGGATGGGTCTCAGGTGGGACGGAGAGGCTGATCAGAGAGGGACAACCCCACCTTTAGTCAGTAACCCAAAGGCCAGGAGAAAGGCCAGCTGCCCCGCTCCGTGCAGGAGCGGGGCAGCAGCCTCTGTGGCCCAGGCGATCACGCGCTCCCCACGTGGGTCCCTGCCCTCTGCCCATCCCCCGCAGCCCCAGGTACGCACGTTTGGGTGCCCATCCCGGAGGAGTTTGTGGAACACATGGCAGAACTTCCAGCAGAGCACAGCGTTGCTGGAGAGGGGCAGCCGGTTGACCACAGACCAAAAGGTCTGCGCCCCTTTCTCATGGTGGGTGCCCAGTATGCACGGTGAGGGAGGGTCATGGAAAACAAAGGCACAGGCCCTGCCTCAGGCCACCGGCCAATCCTTGTGGTCAAGCCTGTAACAGGCTACCTCGGAGGGTTGTGTAATTGCTCAGGGCGGTGGCCCGACCTAGGAGGGGACACTGCTTATAACTAAGACACCACAGATCTGTACATTTATCCAGGCAATTTTTTGACAGATGGAAATAAAGTGTCTCGTTCTAAGGAAATACATTTTGTTAGATCATTTTCCCAGAGATGGAAATGTCTTTTGAGAGGGGTGTCTTTTTCTAACTCACACGAGCGCCCCCCGGGCCAGCAGCGGTCCTGGCAGGCCTTCCAAGGGAGGGGGGTCTGGTTGGCGGCACCCAGCTCCTCTCCACTGGGCACTCTGCTCTTGCCCTGGAGGCAGCAGTCTTCCTGCAAGATGTCTTTTCCCTAACACCCCACTCTTCTGTAAACCTTTCTGGCCTTGTTCAAGGGTGCTTTCGTCCCCTAACGCCTTGAGCTCCCTGTATGCGGAATCCTGGGGCCACTTCCTCCCGATTCAATTCCAAAGGGTACCCACTCCCCAGGGACCACCCGCCATGGTACGTGTGTAATAAATGCCCATTTGGCCTCCTATGCTTTAAGTTAGCACTCCAGACCTCGGTAGATAGTGAACCCTTTTGGGGGTAAGTAGAGGGTGCCCACATTTCTTTTGTCATTGTCTGTTTAAACAGGCCTCACACACCCAATAACTGGACACCATCAACCCCAAGTATACCTCTTTGCTCAGAACGTTAGGTTCTTTATCAAGGCTCAGGTAAGAAGCACGGTGCCCTTTAGGACAGAAAAACTTGCCTCAGGTCACAAACCATATGACTCATCCAGACGTGTTGTTTTTATCCTGAGCTAGAATGTGTCATAAAGTTCCTTCCTGGGCCTGAAATTTGCATGGTGAGCTGGGTGGGCTTGCATGTAGACTTTTGGGTCCGGAAGCTGAAATCGGCTTTTGGTGTTGGATTTCTGACATAGCTTATGTTTTCACCTAAAACACAGCCCCTTAGATTAGAAAAAAAGCCAAGAGGAGGGACGGGGAGCACCTTTCCCTCTCACGCGATGCCTTCTCTCTCGCACTGACTGTAGTTGCCCTGCCTGGGGGCAGTTTGCCCAAACAGAAACAGGAGCAGGTGTGGAGCTAGCTGGACACTCCGACTTTGAAAGAGGCAAGACCTTTCTGTCTTTCTTTTATTATATAAGCACTTTAAAGTACCTATTATGTGTCAGGCACTGTTAAAGGCACACAGGGATACAAAGAAAAATAAGACTCAGTCCCCAGCCCTCCAGGAGCAGATACCATGGTGGTTGTGGGGAGGGGGCCACCTGTTCACCAGTTAGGCGCCTGGGATAAGTGAACGTGTAAACAGTATTTCTCAAGTCAAAAGCACTAGGGCGGCTGATGCTCTTTAAAGGAATAAAGAACAAATGTTCTGTGATATCATTAATTAGGCTTTAAAACCCTACTGTAAAGAGTTGATCTTTCCAACATTCCTCCACTTAAAAATGGAGAATCAGAGAGAGGCACAGAGTGTTAGAGCTGGAACATGAGACCTTTGACATCTTCTTCAACCAAGTCTTCCATCTGACAGATAAGGGGTCTAAGGCTCATGGAGGCCCCATGAGTCCAGAGCGAGCCAGAGAGCTCTGGGGGTGGGGTCCCGGACCCTTCCTCCAGTACCCCTTCTTTGCCCCACATGGCCTCCTGGTCCTCTCTGTGCCAATCCCCCCCCCAGAGGAACACACTGGCCTATGACGACTGTCTCTTTCTTACTTCGTATCTTGCATCAGACTGATCTCACAAATTCTTAGCAGGTAGGGGTCAGAACTAGGTAATTCTGAGAAAATCAAATGGATTTTTCTTGGTTTGGTTTTCTTGATGCAGTTAAACAAAGGGACTATGTCTTTCTGGGAATAAAAGGGCAAGGTCTGGCTGGCTGACTGCCGGGCAGGCTTCTGGGGTACCAGGGAGAGGCTCTACAGCCCCCAAGACACAGCAAAGCCCCAATTCCAAACAAAGTATCTTCCCACTAAAGACAAGCTGTTTCCACCCCTGTGAAGAGGAGTACATGCTGTTAGCAACATTTCCTGCCGGCCTGCCAGTTCTGGGCCTATAAGCTAGAGTGTCTCCTCCAGGGGCCGAGGTGGGATGGTGTCAAGACAAACTGACTGGCTGTGGTGCAACCACCATGACGAGCCCAGGCAAGAAGGAGCTGCCCATCCCAGACGGAAGCCCAGCCTCCACTTGCCCTGACGGGTGCCCTGCTCCACCCCTGGCACACACACAGATGAGGGCTCAACCCCACTGGCAGCCCCTCCTTAGGCTTTGGGGACTCCGCCCTCCAGTTCCTGGGCTCTATACCTCAGGGCAGACCCTCAGGGATCCGTAGTACTGCCTGCACTTCTCTCCAAAGCCACAGATCCATGACGGTGGTCATCTGGGGCCTCTGCCAACTCAATGTGGTGAAAACCGTCAAGGCACCGGTTCCCTAGACCACCTTGAGGTCCCAGTCTCCTCCCCTTCTGGCTTACGGTGAACCCTTGTTGGTTTAAGGCCAACCACTCTAACTGAGGCCTTTGTTTTGCTTTTGTGCTCAGACAAGGGAAGATGATCATGTACCCCAAGGGGAGGTCAGTGCGGCACTATAGGCAAAGTGCAGGACCTGGAGTAATTTGATGGTACAGGTGAAAACCCCTCTGGTAGCCCTGCCCATGAGGCTGGGTTGGTTGGAGCGTCGTCCTGTATGCCAAAAAAAGGTTGCAGATTCAATTCCCAGTTGGGGCACATACAGGAGGCAACCAATTGATGTTTTTCTCCCTTTCTCTCCCTAAAATCAAGAAACACATCCTCAAGTGATGTTTTTAAAAAAAGAGAGAGAGAGAGAGAGAGAGAAAATCCCTCTGATGTCCCGAGGAAGCATCTCAAAAGAAAGGACCTGGCAGTCTGAAAAGCGGAAGTCCTGGGCGGGGAGCGGGATCTTTGGAAAAGCTCGAAGGACTGGGCTACATTGACACCTTGGTGCCTTACATCCTAATGGGCCTTGGCCTGGGAGCCTTGGTCTCTGCGGCCAGCTGCTGCCAACCGACACTGCTCAGCCCTGCAGGGGCCTGGCCTGCGTGGGGGTTCCCCTTCCTGCAGCTGCGCGAGGACACTTCACCCCGACCTCAGTCCCCACAGTTTGACTCCCCTCAGGGTTGGTCTTCCAAGCAACATCCAAAAGGATATTTCTGGCGTGTTTTTCCTTTACAGCCACTTCCTGCGTATTAATGGCCTTATTGATGCTGACAGTCTGAAAAACAAGAGGGAGGGGAAGGGAAAGGGAGGATGAGATGAATAAGCTTCTGAGAGTGGCTGAGACCCTCCCTTCCTCTCCCTCCAACGACTCCTCTCTCCCTCGCCACAGACCCTTCTGCCCCACTGTCCCAGTGCTTGGCCCCCGCCGGGGGGCAGAGGTGGGCAGTGCTCCCAGGCCAGCTGGCCCAGTGTGCCCTAAGGCAGTGGGCTTTGCTGCCTGGCATTGGCTGTGCCCAGCTGCTGCGCCCGCCTGCCACTCATTCACTTGGCACAACAACATGGCAATTAAAGCCTGCACAAAGGGATGCTTTTTCATCCCCCAGGGAAACATTATTTCTCTGGGAGGAGGAGGAAGAGGCGCGGAGATGAGGGAGTGACTGAGGCCCACAGACCATCAAGCCACCCCTCTCACCGCCAGAACCTTCCACACAGCCTTCTCTAGCTGGCCCAGGTCGCTCTTGTCTCTTCTTTTCTCATTCTTGGGCACTTTCCAACTCCTAACCAAATTCCCTTTTATTTCCTTACTTACATCAAAGGGCATTAAAAATATGTACTCCTTTCCAGTTATTTTAAAAAGCATAACCCTTTTTAATTTAGCAAAGCACATATACATATGAATATAACTTATAGAAACACAACACAGAATCATGTTTTTTTAAGTATAGGTTATTCCTTTTTTTTGTTTTGCTTTGTTTCCTTTAAACAGGCGTCATTCTACCCCAACCCATGTTAACCACCTGTTATGCACCATCCCTCGAAGGGGTTAATTTTGCCACTGTTCTACAAAAATTGGACTGTCACACACAGACTTTTTCTTACATTGTGTTTTTTCTCACTTGAAAATATCTCATGAAAAATTCACCAAGCAGAAAGGCAAAACTCTAGTTCATTCTTTAAAAAGACATCATATTGCACGGTGTGGGTGGAGGTGATTTACACAAGCATCCCCATGTTGGAAGGCAATTTATTTTCAGGGTTTTTTTAAATCACCGTAAACTATTTTAGTAAACATTCTTATACAGATATCCTTATTAATTGAAGTTTTTATTTCCAAGGGATAGAGTTCTAGGAATGAAATAGCTAGGTCAAAGTTTGCTGTTGTTGTTTTTAACTTTTCATTATGGAAAAGTCCCAAAACAGATAAGTAGGAAGACTAGTATAAGAGGCCCTCATATTGTCAGTCCCCCGAATCAACCTTTACAAACTTTTAGCCAAACATGCTTCTTTATGGACAAGGGGTTGCAAAGATTCTCTGTGTAAATATTTTAGGCTCTGCAGGCCGCATGGCCTCTGATGCAACTGTTCAACTCCGCTGGTGTTGTGCGGAAGCAGCCCCAGTGATACTAAAAAAAAAAAAAAAAAATGTAACTGAATGGGTGTGGCTGTGTTCCAATAAAACTTAACTGAAAAACCAGGAGGTGGTCTGGATTCTAGATTTGGCTGTGCCTGCAGTGTGTATACGCCTGCTTTATACTGTCAGCCACTCACCCCCTTGCTCACTGGATTATCTGAAGTAGATTCCCAGACATAACATCATTTTAACAGTAAATATTCAGTATTCTCTAAGAAAAATTTAAAAAAAGGACTCTTCAAAAATTAACCAAAACACTATAAATCACACCGAACATTTTAAAGGCAATTCCTTAATACCATTAAATGGTTAGTTGTTGCTCACATTTCCCTATTGTATCAAAACAAAAAAGCTTTTTTGCAGTCATTCAAATCAGGATACAAATAAGGTTGCCATCTCGCTCTAACAGTTCCCTTTTCCACTGACAATGTGTAAAAGCATCCCCACCAACAACAGGGGTTATTGCTTCTTATTGTTTTGTTGGTCTCATGGGTGTAGTGACATTTGATCACTATCTTAATTTGTATTTCCTGGTCTTATAAGCTATGATTGTTGATTGCCTTACATAGTTAAGTATGCCCATCTTATCTTAAACTTCTGTTTATTTAAGGTTTCTTCTACCCCTGGTAGACTTATATTTTCTTCTAAATGTTTTATTGTTTTTTCACATTTGAGTCTTTATATGGAAAAAGTACATACATAAGTACATGTACATATGACGAGGTATGTCCTGAAAAATTCCAGCCATTGTTAATATAACAAGAACGAGTTGAGTGACCTCGATGTAACCTGGCAGCCAAGGAGAGTGGACAGGAATGTGCATGTGTGAACAATGACAACTTCACTGTACTAGTCAGTGGGGTGTAGATACCACTGAGTGAGCGTGTGTACCGTGTGGCCACCTCCTTCAAAATGTGTGAGCAATTAGAGCAACGAATCTGCATCAAATTTTGCATTAAGCTTGAACATTCCTCTGTGGAAACTATTTAGATGACTCAGAAGGCTGCAGCCATGGGCAGCTGGTGATTGGCAGCTTCATCACGACAGCGCACCCACCCATGCTTCACGTCTCATACAGAATTTTCTGGCGAAACCTCAAATCACCCAGGTGACTCAGCCCCGCTACAGCCCAAATTTGGCCCCTGTGATGTCTGCCTTTCCCCCAAATTGAAATCTCCTTTGAAAGGGAAGAGATTTCAGACTGTTGATGAAATTCAGGAAAATATAATGGGGCAGTGGATGGCACCTGGAAGAACTGTGTGAGGTCCCAAAGTGCCAACTCCAAAGAGGGCTGAGGCGTCATTGTCCTATGTACAGTGTTTCTTGTATCTTCTTCAATAAAAAATATGTCTCTTTTTCATATTACAGGGTTAGACACCTTCTGGACAGACCTCGTATAGGTGTATATACAGTATAAAATAGGTTATTTCTAGGCTTTACCAAAATATGTTCTTTTATATCTGGTTTATATAATGTTTGGATGTGTTAAGCCCACTTTTCTGCCTTTTTCTCCCTACGAGACTCAACTTTTTAACAGCATAAGCTCTGCTGTGGGTTGAATTGTGTCCCACCCCCAAAAAGATATGTTCAAGTCCAAGTCCCCCATTACCTATGAATGTCATCTCATTTGGAAACAGGGTTTTTGCAGATGTAATCAGCTAAGATGAGGTCATACTGGATTAGGGTGGGCCCTAAATCAAGTATGACTGATGTCCTCATAAGAGCATGTGAATACAAAATAATATTGAATACAAGCTTTAATTGGAGAGTAAAATAATAATAATTTTGAAAGAGGCCATGTGAAGATGGAGGTAGAGATGTGAGTGATGTGTTTACAAGCCGAGGAACAGCAAGGATGACCACAACCGCCAGAAGCTGGGGGAGGCACGGAAGGGTGCTTCCCGGAGCCTTCACAGGGAGCACGGCCTTGCGGACACCTTGATTGTGGACTTCTAGCCTCCATAACTGCCAGAGAACACATTTCTGTTGTTTTAAACCACCCAATTTGTAGTCACTTGTTATGGCAGCCCCAGGGGATGGATACAGTGTTCTTTCCCCCTGAGGCTGGGTCCTCCTGAGGTCCAGGAGAGTGCAGACGCTTCCTTCCCTCCTCCCTGTAGCACCCAATATGAGGCTCTACTGAGAAGCAATCTCACATGAGAGGTGCTACAAGAGAGAAGTGAGTAGTTCATTCCCCAAACATTTCTCACTCAGTGAAGCAGTTCATGTGTCCTATGGAGGCCGAGTGCTTCCAGCTTCCTCTTAACAGATCCTTACTTGGGCCCTGTTCCTCAGCCTCTGCTTCCAGGGCCATCCCAGGCCATTCACTTTCCTTCAGATTTCCTCGGGTACTTATGGCGGTTTAAACTATGATTCTCTCCTGGATCCGGGACAATGAGGGGATCCTGGCTGCAGACGGAGCTCTAAGCAAAGTCACTACTTTTGCTGAGCCCTTAAAGGTTGCCTGCATTCCGTAAGAAATTATGAGGAACGTAAACATGTAAAATGACAAGAGACCCAAATCCAATAAGGTGCTGAATTGGATGTGGCCAAATTCTAGTGGGACTGGTAGAGACAGCAGTGCAGGCAGGGAGGAAGACGAGAAAACCCATGTTGGTGGAATATTCTAGAAATCACATCAGAGCCTTGAGGGAGGACCTCTGATGGGTGGAATTTACACTTATCCACAAATATTTGTTTATATTAATCAACCCAAGTGCCCAAGCTTGTGGTCATTTTGGCCTTGCTCACAAAAAATAAAAAACAAAAATCCTGAAAATTCCTTTAAGCAGTAAAATACCATGACTTTGTATCTATAGACTCTGTGTCAGGGTGGGGAGGGGCGGGGGGCGAGAGGGGGCTGTAAGTTGGAAATGTTCTGTGCTCTAAATGTTTAAGGACGGAGAAACCCCTTGAAATGGTGATGCTGCTCAGGAAAGACTTCTCAGAGGAAGAGAGGGATAGATAACTTGTCCCAGGTGCTGTTGTCCCCTGCAATTTACCTACTTCTTGTATTTGTGTTGCATGCAAACTCGGGGGCACCTTATGATTGGACAGAAAGGCTAAGCCACTTGCCCAAGGTCATACTATATTCACTTCCAGCTGTGGCCAACTGGATGTACAAGCAGAGCCCTGAACCATGGAAGAGCTTGCAGGGGCTGGGTCTACATCAGAGACATGGAGGACAGACCCTCCAGGCTGAGGAGGCACAACAAGGAAAGGCAGCAGAGCGGCAAGGCCTGGAGCAGGCAGGCAGCTTTGGCTGGAGGGCAGCATCTAAGGGAGGAAGGGGATGAAGCCAGAGAGAGAGGTGGTGCTGGGTGTGGAAAGCCAGTGGGTTTCAAGGGGGCAGGAAAAGACAGAAGCAGTGGAGGAAGTCTGGCCAGCAGCAGTGTGAGAGCTGGAGTAAAGGAGGGCAGAGCCTGGAGGTAGGGAGGTATTAACAGCAAACAGATGTGAAAGAATAAAGGCTTCAACCAAAATGATAGAAGGGAAAATGTTAGGAACCCTATATAAGGTAGGAGCTCCCATTAACAGGGGATTCAGCAGAAGGAAGCATCCGAGGTGCGGCAGAGGTTTAGCACCTACACAAGTGGGAGAACAGAAGCACAGCATGGAGACATCAGAAGCTAAGAACAATGAGG